GCGTACGAGCTTTTGATCGAGTTGGGTGCTAGTGCTCGTCTTAACTTTTATCATGACGTGCCCATTTAAAACTTGCTAACCCACTGAAAATTTATATTCGGCTTATAAAATTGGCTTTTGTTTACTCTTCCAGTAAATAATTCCATTCTCTTGAGTGTGCGAAAGACAGTATTTTCAACGCTCTGTCTTTTTAAAATCACTTAGTGTGTGTCTAAAACGTGTTGTAAACATAGAATGTGATTCATAAATAACGAAACAATTATGGTTAATTATTGTTGACATGAGACGAACAAAATCTAAGAAGGCTGTAAATAAAGCTCTAATAATTGCATATGCAAATCTCTTCTCGGTTTGAGCGACGGCGTGACCAGAAATATTGATGCGGGCCAACGCGTTCAAATGCAAATATGACACCGTTTATTTCACTTTAGGGCTGACTACCTTAATTACAGGATGAAAGAAGCACTTCGATCGAGAGAAACCCGTATTGTGACGAAACCACTTGGCGCTGAAACAATGCAATTGAACTATTGAATGTCACTATCTATTACTCACTACATAAGTTAATGGGCTGTCTTTGAAAAAATTTTATTTGCTCAGTCATTCTACCGCAAATAGTGGACGCGCTTTGTTTTTGTTCAACTGTAACTTGAGGCATTTTATACAAGGTTTCTATCGGTTTTATTGAGTGGAATGATATGTACAATAGACACGCTTCAGAAAAATAATCACTTATTAAATAAAAAGTGTCATGAGTTAGTGAGCCAGAGCCATGTAAACAACCCGTGGCCGTAGAAAATGCTGTGTCAGGATTGGCTTGAGTTGCCAAACTTGAGCCAATCCTGACGCAGCATTCTGACGGTTAAGAGACAATAGCGTGAGTTTGTATAGAACCAGTCTTGAAATTTATTGAAGCAAATCCGGATTACTTCAAACACTCAGTCGAAAAGCGCTTAAATTACGTTATTAGGTCCTCTGGTTGTTTGCTATTTACATGTTACTAATGAGTAAGTATCGAAGGTCACTCGTTTAATCTTTCTGACTGTTTATGACTGAAAATTCACGATACGACGGTCTGCAGACTTTCTTGAACTGGAAGTAAATATGTCGGGAACAATTTAGCACTCTGGGTGATTATCATTTCCTTGCGTAGGGGTGTTCCTTGATGTTTGCACACTAATGTTTACTCTTTCAATTTCCTGTAGAGAAGAAAACGTGAAAAGTTACTTGAATAGATTGATAAATAACCCTCACTAAAGAGAGCTGAAAGTTTTGCTTAGTGTTTGTTGGTTTTTTGATATAACCTTTTCACGTGTGTACACGAAAAGGTAAGAAGAGAAACAAGAAACAAACATGGAGACAAACTATCCTGATATCCTGCTGCGTTATAAGATTTTCCTCCGGCCAACGCTTACCTGATCTACCCCTAACATTCGATACGCATGTGGTCGCACTGTAAACCCGCAGTTTCTGTAAAAAAAAAAGTTAATTTCTTGTTCAAACATTTTCGTTTTTCTCACGAGTTTGATTTCAGTGATAACTACTGAGAGCTACATAACCATTTAGTGAATAACAGCTACTCTGGTTTTACATAAAAAAACATCGGGAACAGTGCAGGTTACCTCGTGTTGTCCTCTGTCTTTGATCATGATGGGTTATATGGTTCAAGGAAAAATCACTTTCGATTGTTACTTACGTGATAGGGATTTGTAAGTCGTTTTGCTGTGAACATTGGGTCACTATTTTTCCTCGCTCGGTCAACGACATTTCATGAAAGTCCTAATGAAGTAAAAAAAAAACGATGAAAGTTTTTGGAGGAAAGTGCGCATGGGATTAAAGGAAGATAGTGGCGCCCATGGTATTTTCGCCAAGAAGTAGCGAGCTTCTAATGCACCTGCTGCTTACTAGTTTGCCGTAAGATGAAACCCTCATTTTCCCACTTTAGTCAACCACAGTGGGATTATATTTAAACTGTGACCTGACAAAATCTAAACATAGCAGGTTTTATGACCGTAAATATACCTCTTCTTTTGCATGATAAGAGTAAGTTAACACTTATTGTATTTTATTCTTTTTTTCCTAGGGAGACCAGAATTCACCTTTCTCTCAAAGTCTAATCCAGTTGTGATTCCACCCAATGGAAAGAGGGATCTATAAACCATCTGCAATTGCTGGGCTGCCATCTTTCTTGATCCTACATCGAATACAAAACGGTGTGCTTAACAGTATTTTATCAACATAATTTATAGTGTTTGTCCCTTTCTCCTCTCATTGGCTCTTGATCATGTAACGAGATTAGACGAAGTGGACTTGCACATGGTGCTCAGCGATCGCTTAAGGAATCGCTCTTCATTCATGCCTGCCAGACAATGTGAACTTCGTGGCCCGGTTGAGCCATGATATTTTGAATTTTGTTTGAGGCTAGTGTAGCTCATGTGCCCGACTTTTCTCCTTTTCTTGTGTTTTTGTATTTTTCGTTTTCTCTCAGTTTAACTGAGGCAAACTTCTAAAAGTGTGAGTATCGTGAAACACTGAAGGTGAATGGAAACCGAAAAAGGAAAAGGGATCCTGAAATGTATTCAGCACCTTCACTCGATTTTCTTCATGTGTTATGTGACACTGAATAGATTTACCTGATTTTGTTTTTCAGATTTTTGTTTGTTGCAGAAGTCAACAACTTTTTAGCTATATTGTAATACTTTGATGAGCTGTTTTGGGTGTAAAGCTAGAGCATGGGGACATCAACAAATCCGTGAGCGTTGACGAGTTTCGATACAGACACATCAGCGTGAAGAGAGGGGGACTCATCCTCGTTTTATAATGGTTAAGAATTCAAAAATAAAATCACAAATTAAGACATGAAAGGTAACAGAAGCACTTGCCTGACCTTTTAAGAATCAAAAATCGAAAATAACCAGAGAAAAAAAACTGCTAGAAAATCCTGATTAGTATTTTGATGTAAAAGCTTTGTACTTACGCGCAGTTATTTCCTAAATATTCGGTATGGTTTGAGTCCTGACTTTTCCAACAGAAAGGCTTAAAAGATAAAAGAACACTCATGAGGTGGCGGTGAGAAACGTAGTAGATAAAAATTGTAGGAACAGAACCACTAGAGTTACCTAGTGGAGACGTAATACAGTGTGATAGCAAGCCGTTGTAAAACACGTCAGTGAATAGACTCCAAGACCACACGAGATCCTTAATTTTGATGTTTTACAAAAGGAAAACATCCGTTTCTTTCATCCAATTTGATTCGCCACGGTTTTGAAACAGATAAGGTCTTGGTATTTAGCTGGGTTTTACTCAGAAAGCCATGCTTATACGGGAGTATTCTTACACACGACAAAGCCACGTGTAAGTCTTTTTATTTTTTTGTGCTTTACGTGAAATTGAAGGAAGACATTATGTTTATGAAGAAAATATCACAAAGATAGTAAAATTCCAACTTACCGCACGTTTGGAGACTAGAGAGAGATCGAAACGTGCAACAAGCACTGAGTCTTCGAAGGGGCTGGTTTCGTTTTCAAGTTCGGCAAAGCAGCCTCTCATCTGAATTTCATTGGCAGCGACCACCTGGTGTAGGACATCTAATATGGCGGACCGAAATATTTTGGCGCCAAAGTGGTAAGGTTCAAAACAAGGCTTTTCCACTGTAGCTGTGACTGGCGTTTTTCCATGGGTGCTGCTATTTCCGTTTATTACTGGTATGTTAAAGTCTTCGCGCAGAATGCGCTCCCTGGCGTCGATAGAGCTGCCTATAATATACATTTGGACCGAAAACCATGTCCCTCTTAAGCGGTGATCATAAAATTGACTCTCTGAACGTCATCGCGAAACGTTTCCGTCTTCGCAATCTTCGTTGTGTTCATGACCCTTGGTAGAGTTCAGTTCACTTCGCTACGCTTCAAAATCTTTCGAGTCCTTTCTTCGTGAAACAATTTAGCCAAGGGACCACAAGTTGCTTTCTTGTACTTACAGTCAATAAAATCTGTTATAGTCTTCCCTTTGTGGCTCAAGAAAATGACTGTTACAGCAAATTGACGTTGGTGAAATTTCGTCGTTTACCTTAGCGGTCTTAATAGCAATACGCTGTTGAGAAAATTTCATGCATGCAACCTTGATAATTCTGCAGCGCATTTGGGAAATTCCCTCCCAATCGGCACTTAATCTTTCTGTAATGATGACGTCATCTGTGAAATTTGCGCTTTTCGAAGCGTTCTTGAGCCACTGATGTGAAGCTTTGTTTACTCACAAGGGGTATTTGACCGCAGCGTAAGTCTTTCAGAGAAGCGAAAATGTTTCTTAAAAGCAGAATAAAGGTCACTCAAGTCTAGAATTTTAAATGCGTCAGAGGGCGAAAATGTGCCCAGGCTTGCATCTTTCTTGATGAACTAAAGAATAAATTGCTGTCAATAAATGCCAGTCACAACAGCGAGAGACAATTCATTGGTTACCTAGAAAATTCCTCGATTGCAGAATAGCGTAGCTAGACAGATCAACGGATTATGTCACAGTATGTAAGTGTTATCGTTTCCTTACGACAAAGTTTTCCTGCTAATTCTTCATTCGATGGCTACTATCGGCCAAAAGGTATTGAAATTGAAGGAACTATACATGGGATAAGACATTGTAATCCACTTTCTTAGTTTGGTACCAAGTTGCTATGCGCTATGACTATTTGTTTTGTTTTGTTTTGTTTTTTTTTTGCATTCTACTTCGTTCTTAGGGAGGTGTGCAATGTCACCGACTCATGAAGAATTGAGAAAGAGTGAAGCGAATGTTAAGTGAATTAAGTTTGCGAATGGTCTGTGTAATCGATTTGGGAATCTAAAAATCGCTTTAAGGAAACACAGTTGTTTCATTTAGTCATGTTATTTTTTACTGACATGTTCACTGAAGTGATTTCAAGCAGGACTGAATTTGCATTTCTTGATAATAGCACGGTTTTTTCCCTGAGCTCACCCACTTATATGAGGTCAAATCATTTTACTCATAACCAGGTCACCTTTCTGTAGAATAGAAATCTTCCAGCAGCTCAGTAGTGTCCCTGCTGAAGCGAAATGGAACTTGAACAAACCTAACATTGATGCACGATTGCGGCTGGTCTATCGAGTGAATTTGACAAGCTGGGAGGAGAGGGAAAGGGTAAGGAGTCAAACAGAGAAGAGAGAGGCACGGGATAGGCCTTGAGGAAGACTGGTGCTTCACCATGCCGTCACGAAAGTGAAGTCGAGATTATGCATGCCTAATTGCTCTTTCCGAGAAACTCGGGGCCTCTGTTTTAGAACGAGGAACGCGAAAAAGCCTTATTTCTGAACATAATTTCTTTATTGTTACGAAGGTAAACGAACCGAAATGTTAGACTTGATTTCATTTTGAGAGTGAGATGAACTTGCCAGGAGGCTAAACAAACTTTGATTATATTGCTGCCATTCGATCTGTTTTCATGCGAGTGATGGACACTGGCACACATAGTCAACAGAGACCGAAATACAGAGCAGGGAAAATACAGAAGACGGCTTTTACTCCAATTCCCAGAATTTGTTTTAATTTTCCAAGTATTTGCACCAAGCTGTCAGGTGTTTACAAGTCTTCTTTCTTGCAATTCTTCCAAGATAACTATATAAAACATAAATCTGTTATAAAGCCAAATATTTTGCCGCTGTTTTCTTGAAAACGCTTTCTAAGAAATACACGAAATCCTTCTAACAAAACCGAGACGGCGACAAGGTTACCGGGGAAAAGAAATAGTACTTGATGTTTGCACTCCTTTATTTTGAGTTCATGTTGACATTAAGCTCTGAAAACCTACAACTGCGAAATATCTTACAATAGAGGTCCTGCTCAAAGTCGATCTTTATCTTCAACATTAACGAAAGGAGGCAAAATGACTCAATACTTTGCATAACTAACAATGGATATGACAGAGCTGTCAACTGCCAAATTGCAACTAACTTGAAGGGAACCTTAAACTTCACCAAAACCTTTCTTAATTTTTGTAATGATGGACAGTGAGCTGAAAAGTTAAATTGGGATATTTTCTGATTCCTTAGAGGCAAAACACGTAAGGTCATTCAACTTGGTCTTTAACTTTTCTTCGATCAATTTAGATTTCTTTGCAACTTTTAAAAAGTCAAAACGTAAATGCTTTCACAAAAAAATTCTTTTGATTGGTAAAATTACTCTAATTATGTTTCCGTTGAATTGCCCATCATTTTGATTAATAATACACAATTAATTAATGGACTGAAATGTTCTTAGATTTACCTTGAGATGCAAATCTTATTGCAATAATGAGCTAATGAAGGGGGAACTTTTACCTCATAAAAAGTCGAAAATAGGAACTACAGGATGGAATATCAAAGAAGAGAAGAACCTGTGAGGAATCTAATTTACCCATGACTGAAAAAATGTTGTATTATGTTTCTAAATGATGCACACAGCCCCTTTTCAAGGCTCAGCTATTATTAAAATTCGGGTTTTTACTATTGCACTCAAATCTATGTGTTTGCTTTTATGATACATCTCACCGAACTAATTATTCAGTTTACAACAGTTATCCTTAATCTAACTTGTCATCTGTTTTAGGCTCCTGGTTTGGACGTTAAGATGTTTTCTACCCAACACGACTAAAATTCTCTATTCCATGATATTTTTTTTGATAACATGTAGGTTTGAAGTTTCAGATTTTCATCTCGCACTGACAACATGATAGCCATACAAACACAACCAAGAGGCTCAGCAATGCCAACAGGGTCAAGAGGAATTCTTGGTTAGTGCTTTCTACAAGCTACAAACAAAATAAAATGTTTTTTTCCTCTTGTGTGTTAGCTAGTTGATTTTCATCAAAAAATCTACTGATGGATAATTTTCGTACCATTACGGCATCATCTCGGTTTATCGGAAAACTGGTGATCATTATCATTTATGAAATCACAACTAAAGTGAACAAAAAAACAATCTCTATCATTTTCCCAAAATTTGAAAGAGGGAAGTATTTCATTGCTTTCATTGTGAAAACTATGATTTGGACTCTACAGCTAGATGTTTGACTTATGCTGTCAGTGAAATATACAAAGATCTTGCTTAAATAATCGAAACGGTCATCCCTTTAGTCGCTCCTATTAAGCCATTATAGCAAGGCCTCTTTTTACAGTTTGTACTCACTTTTCCGCCTTCAGGTGCCAATGTATCACTTCCTGATGTCTCGTACCAACTTCTGTTTCCACTGGAAGAAAAAATGTGAGTTTGTGAGTTTCTTCTTTGGGAAGATGTTTAGGAGGATATTTAGGAAGGTGTTGACGATCGAAGCTATGTTTTCAGGAGCGAGCTAAAATATTACTTACATTATATATCGCATACTCCCACAATAAAAACGGAATTTTTGGTGGGGGGTGCAGGGGAGGGGTGAGGGAGGATGATAAAAGATGCTCAGAAATTAAAAATGAGCGTTGAAATGACCGCCAATTGAAGAAGCTTTTGACTGTCAAACAAATTCTCCTTGTCAGCGCCAGAGAAATTGCACAGAAACAGTATGGAAAATATGCATACTGGTGTTATGGTGTAAAAGGATGAATTTAAGAAATACAGTCATCTGTACTTGGTATCGCTTAGCTTGCAGACTGTAAGTGATAAAGGATTAAGTTATTTAAACCAGGCTTACAATACAACCAATCTTCGTTCGGATTCTCCTTGTGAACAAAATCTAAGAGGGTTTCCTCGTTCTGTCTGCCGATTTTCCTAAAAATTGAATAAAGAGAGAGAGAGAGAGAGAGAGAGAGAGAGAGAGAGAGAGAGAGAGAGAGAGAGAGAGAGAGAGAGAAAGAACTGAATAATAAGTCATAGTCCATTGGAAGTTATAAATAGTACACAGCGCAATATTTTCAAATCATATGCAGTATGATTCTTACTTATTGGACTAAATGACCTTTCTATGTATGGTTCATGAAACATGAAGAGAGGAATTGGGAGAAAACACTCGTGTAACGCTAAATTGTGCTAACTTTCTTCATTTCAACTATGACGTTTGGTATATTTCCGTAATTTATTTTTCTCTTTCGCTTTATAGTCTAAAATAAAAACTCTTACTTTTTTTTTTCGGAGGGTACGGTAACGAATCCTGCAATCTGATTGGTTCTTTACCCGGTCAGTATTTTCCTATCTCTGCCCACGGGCCACGGTAACGCTCTCGTGAGTCGCCGAGTACATCCCAACTATCGTTGCCATTTTTCATTAATATATCTCGTTTTCCGTCTGGGCGGTACTTTTAAGCAAACACGTTGGTCACTACCTCAGGCCGATAAATAACTTATGAATCCTCTCTTTTCCTTCTCTCAAATCACTTTGGTTGACAGAAAAATATTAGTTTCAGAATGAACTCGTATAAGCAATAGTGATTGCGTTAGTTGACAAGGGCCTAAAAACCGTCTGCAATTAATTTTAAGCGTTCACAAAAAGTACCTAGAAAGTTAAAACGTGAGGTATTTGGTTACAGTTAAACTGAACGATGGAACTTTCATTTGTTTAATATCTGAATTTTCTCAAACAACTTGTTCGTAGTGAAAGAGCGAGCGAAGTTTTAATTTCAGTTCTTTGCAAGTCCGTTCAATTTGGACATTTGTACCGCAAATTGCACAACAGAAACTGAAGGAATTTATTGAGAAAAGGCCGCATTAAATCCCCTTGTGTCTCGTTGGAGTGTGCCATTCGAATTTAGTTCTTGTGGAGGAAAGACCAAATTTACACTCGCCATTGCAGCAAACAAACCAGCAAACTCTCACAACTTCAAAATAAAAAACTTGAATTTACTCACAATTACTTTCCTCGCCGTTTACTCAATGAACAGAGGTAAATCTTCGTACATGAATGAATCGTCGATGAGAGTGAATAATACTTTCCGTCAGATTATTGACTGTTTTTGAAGAAAACATTGTCGTGACAGTCCTTGTCAAACTAGTTCCGTTGTTTTTCAAATCTTCTTGCCCTTTTTTTCTTACGCACTGTCTAATTGACAGGTGTCAGATTGTGACAGATATTTGTAAAAATAAAGTTTCAAAGTTGTTTGGAAGCCTCTGAAATTACCGTTATAGTTATGTTAATGAAAATGTTTCGGAGAGGCATCTCTCTTTACTTTGCATCACCTCTAATTTAACTACCATTTACTCGCTCAAAAATTGTTCAGTTTATGGAAGATCTTGCCGTATTTACAGCCCTAAATCATTCGGGTTCTTTCGGAAAGAATTTCGTCAAGTTAAAAAAAATAAATATGTTATTTACCGGCTATGGGTCGGTCCGTATGGTGAAAGACTGTGACCTCGTCCTTGAAATTTCAAGACCAGCCGGCAAGTAGCATATATGTACTGTTACTTGAAATTATCAATTCCTTTGGTACATACCTCATCTTTTGGCAGCATTTCAAAGTTAAGTTTTCTGCAAAATAAAAAAAGCGCAGGAAATTTCACCAGTTGGATTCGTTCACAAGCTCTTTTCGGGTCCTTCTGGGAGCGTTCGTGTGACATTCAAGTAATTTCCTTTAGATGAACGTGCTTCAGACATTTTTAAACACCGTCACCAAAAGCATTAAATAACTTAGTAAATATAGTATGAGTCTGTAGCCGTTATGAAACAAAACTATCAGAAAGAGAATTGGATAGAAACTTTAGGAACAAAAGGATGCTTTTAATTAAAATTTACTTGTTCGCTGCTGAGTCAGCTCAGAGAGGACAAAAATGGTACAGGAAAACTGTTTGCCGGTCCCAGCATCTCTTGTCGCTTTCTGAACATGCGTGAGTCATCAGATTTTTCGCCCGGTTTAAATGACCTAACTAATTCAATTTTTCCTCAAACGATTACTTTTCTTACATTTTTAAAGTGTTTCAAAGAATCAAGTTAAAATGATTGAGAGAACTTTGAAATTGCTACCAGAAACACGCAAATGAAATTAATGAATTTAGGGAAGGTGAGGAAAAGGTCTGACCAGACCTGAAAACGACGGTTAGTTTCAGTTAGAATGCAAGTGAGCAGTTGATTATTTACGGTTTGATTTTAGGGGTATAAAACTGTATGTGATATTAAAATTCGCACAATACCCTTTATTACTTCGAATACGTCACTCCAGTGTTACATGTAATTAATATGGAGTCTACGTGATACAAACTTTTGCAAAACAATAACGCAACGTAGGAGTCTACGTGATACAAACTTTTGCAAAACAATAACGCAACGTAAGACCCAGAATCGAAATTTAAAATTTAAAATTACAATTACGTAACTGTAACTTGTGAATCGTTTACAGAAAACATTCTCTCCGTGTGGTTATTCGGCCAGCGCTCGCTCAGTGAAGGATTTATCAAAATCTTCCCCTCGTTGGAATAAAAAGAACTTCATTGCATTCTTTTCTCATTTGATGGGAGGGCTACTGGTAGTAATTCTGAGTAATGTATTCTCCGTCGAAACTGCAAGAACTAAACATTGTACGTACCTTTCTGGCAGCATCTGTCTCACTTCACTTTGAAGAGGAATCTTAGAGTCAATTGAAGTCGCGTGCTGCAAGGTAATTATCGATACCTTTCGTAGCTTGTCCACCTAGCCACGCCAATCAGGTGAGGAGAGCGCATGCTCTTCGAGATGTTGGAGTGTGGTCGTGATATGATTTCCTCACGTCGGTAAGAATTGACGGGAATTTACTGTTTTTGTCTCGGGAAAACATCCTCTCCTCGATTCCCTATAATTTTAAGCACGTAGCGTGTGTCAAATCGATGCCCTGGCTGACCTTCTATTACCGTCTAGACACGAAGACATCAAGAAACCCTCAGGAACGTGAAAAATGATGCTCAACTCAAGAATGTTCAAAACAGTATTTGAATATTACTATTAGCTACAACAGAATTCGTTTCCTTTCGCAATCCTCAATTTAAGGGGGAAACCATGATTAAAGTATTTGCCTCGGGTAAACAATTAACCCAAACGCAGGAATTTCACTCATGAACAGATCTTACTTCATTATTCGAGGTTCATAAACGTGACCAGACGTTTGTCATGGCTGATCATATCACATTATTGAAATTGTTAGTGTAATAATCTTTTTTATAACCCATATGTGGTGATATGCTAACCTCTTGCTAGTAGATGGCACGTGCCAGTAAAGTAAACTAATTCAGTTTTTTTTCGTTGCTGTACAACGTCAACTTAAGTAGTTTTTTTCGGACAGTGCGGTTTCATTGCATCACACGCGCCCAACCATCTTTCCAACAAGCTCTATTTTTAACAGGTTTGTTCAATTGTTAACAAATGTGAGTGCCATAATCTTTTTATAAACCAGACGTGGCGATATGCTTACCCCGTGTAGCAATTAGAATTTGCCTCTCTATCCATTGTCAAGCAACTGCGAAAGGATCTCTTGTTTTTCTTTCTATTAAACTACTATTATGAGGTTCTCTTTCTATTCAATAAGTTCGCGTTTTTGCGTGAGGTTATGTAAGAATTACGCAACTCCGATTCATTTCTAGCCGGTGTGAGCGTTGTTTCCGCCAGATAATTCTCATTGCCAATTGATTTCAACTAATTGAGTCGTTTCGTTAGTTTTTGCTAGCTCCGTGTTGGTCTTGTTTAGGAATTTAACTGTCGCACCTGGTTACGCCACAATTTGTAAGTTAATTTCTATTTCATGTAGCCTTTTTCGTTATTCTTGTTGTTGTTATATTTGTACTTAGATATTTTCATTAATTATTTATTTCAGTCAAATCACGTCTGCACGTCTACACATCCTTACATCTAAATACACGTCTATCTGGCAAATAGTTTAAATGTGCATTCGTTCTGTGGCCTTAAACGTAAAGTATTTATCTACATTTTATTCGAAATATGTGCATGGATTGACTATAAATGATAAATACATCATTTCATGATGATTTTTTTCTATAAAGTTACATTATTTTGAATTGTGTTTCCTTTGACTGGCTCATTATTTTGGCATTAAATACCCTAATCAAATCATGTTTAAAGTGTTGACTTCATAGAAAGGAGAATAATAAACGCGAATTACTAAGTACAGTATAAGTAAGTAATTAAAGCCCATGGGGCCGGCGCTTAACTCCGGTTTTCTTAGCATGAAGCGGTTAAGAGTATTGCTTCTTCCCCCTCGATCCGGAGTCGAGCGCACTAACCATGAGGCCACCGCGCCTCCACAAAGTACAGCATAAGCTAAGAGACTTAACATGCGTTATCAATAACCAAAAATCTTATTATATCAGAACAAGCTAATGCAGAAGAAACTTTCCCCTGATAATCGAAAATACGAATGATCTTGTCGACAGGATTTTTAAAAAAAGGAGAGAAACGAAAAGGTATGTCTCTAAATGATTTACACAGCACTTTTCACACCTCATCTTTGAAAAAATGCATACTTAATACTATTGTACTCAAATGTGGCAGAATCTGTAATCTTGATAAATTGATACATATTTTTAGATTAAATCTTATTAAACACATCATTAATTTACAACATTTAGCCTTAATTGTATCTCGCGATATGTCTATTAAAGTTTGAAGTTTGAGATTTCATCTCAGGAAGGCAGGCGACATGATAACGAAAAGAATTACAAACAAAAGGAGTTCTTGGTCAATGTTTCCAACAGGCTGTACAAAAACAGAAAAAAATATATGTTAAAGAGAATAATAAAAAGAAGAAATGGAAAAATAGTAAGAGTAATGCCTTCTGCTTTTTTTTCCTCTTCATTTGAAATGGTAATAATAAATTAAAAATTTACTTTATTTTCATCAAAATTGTATATCCTTCCGCTTGAGCATCATACAGGTTTATCGGAAAACTTGTGGTCATTGAGAAATCATTAAAATTTATAGAACCACAACTCAAGAGAAAAATTTAGTCGATCTTTAATATTTTTCCAAATTAGGAAAACGGAATTTGAAAGAGGGAAACATCACTTTGTTTTCTTTATGACAGCTATGGTTTAATGACAGCTATGGTTTTTAGACTGTTCCCAATTGTCAGTGAAACGCCGAAATTCTTGCTTAAATAATCGAAACGATCATCTCTTTACTGGCTCCCATTAAGGCCTCTTTTTAAGGGTTGTACTTACCTGTCCACCTTCAGGTGCCAATGTATCACTTCTTGATGTCTCGTACCAACTTCTGTTTCCACTGACAGCAAAAAAGAAAATGTTATTTGCCGAATGATAATCTCGAAGCAATAGTTACGCCAAAATTTTATAGGCAAATATTTTCTATGTTTCCCGCACAAGCGAGCAAAAACTTTGCTCAAATACAAGTTGTTAGGAGACTAAAGACTAAATCGTCGAAATTTTACCAGCCCTTCTTCTCAAGTTAGCTTATTTCCTATTCAGTGAAGAATCTTACTCCCGCCTTTAGTACTGATGTCTCATCATGGAATTTGCATGTCTAACATTTTAATCCAAGACGAAGGATGCGGCTGATACAAATCGTTACTCGAGACCCAAACATTGCCGCAGATAAAGGCATTATTCTTGGATGACTCCTGCAAGCCTTGCAGCTTTAGAGAGGCTTTTTTCCTCTTATTTAGCATAGTTAAAAAAAGGTAAACAAATTGAACAAACAGACAAACCAGCCCGTTTGAAGTTTCCTCATTTTCGCTAAAAGAGCCCAAAGGGAGTGACTCGGTCTCTTGAATCACTTGTTGGTATTCCAAGAAATTTGGGCAAAAAAACATGATTAAAATGCTTATCTAACATTAGAAATATAGCTTAGCAGAGTTTTAGACATTTCAAATTGTCGGAATCTAACCATGACGGTATAACATCAGAATATTATGCCATTTCAAGGTAGTCAGTTCTCAGAGAGAGTGAAAAGACAAATTAAACTGCATTTGGTATTGTGCAGATTTTTGAAACCAAAACTTACTATACAACCAATCTTCGATCAGATTCTCCCTGCGAACAAAGTCTTACAGGGTTTCCTTTGTCTGTCTGCCAGTTCTCCTAAGCGATTAAAGAATAGACAGATGTCACTGAACACAGGTTATAGGGCACTGTCCATAATTAATCAAAACTATAACAAAATTCTCGGAAGTGATTGGCAATCACCAGCTCGATTTGAGGACTAATAGGACAGTGTACGCGTCACGCTTGTAATTGGACAGTGAAATAGGACAGTTGAAGGGACAGCGAACACGTCATGCTTGTGTAAGTGGACAGAACGCGTCAGGTGCGCGGGCCGTTGTCTCGCATTTCGCCGAGTTTACTGTTGTTTTTTTTGTTATGAAAACGTATAACCGATGTCTAGTTTCTTTCTCAAATTTTGTCATAGTTTTGATTAATTGGTAACAGGACTTCGTGTCGTCCAATTCTATCTGTAATCATACTCATAATAAACAAATCGGACTCCTGCTTCACGGTGCGTCCGATATTGTTAATCGCCCGTATGATTACAAACCGAATTGTACTCTACTCGGTCCTATTACCGTTATAAATATTTCATAGCGCAGATCAGTTTTGAATTTAATATAGTAGCTAGTATTAATGATTCGATAGACTGTCTGAACAAAACTAACTGACTTAGTAGTAATCAGCTCATAAATTTTACTTGTAATCATGTAAAATGGTATTTTCTCACGTGCAAACAAACTTCTAAGTCGACACAAGACTTTAATTGTAAGTGAAAAAAGAGCACTAGTCTTGAATTAAAGGAAATAATTTTCCAGTGAGAAAAACATTTAGAGCAAATTAAAAATAGCCTATTTTTCGGTTTGGTATACTCATGCAGGAAACATTTATAGTCTGTTGGCCTTACATTCGATTTCTACGTTAAAAAAAAACATCATGAGATAAGGATGGAAAAAACCACCAATTTAAGATTAATATTGACATCATGTTCTCAGTTACGCGAAACGATGATGGGAAGTACTGTTTATTTAATTTTTGTTTTATGCTTGTCAATTACACGTGCACAGCTGAAAACCCTGTTAATGTTGATACCATGGCGAGTGGAAGTTTATTCATAAATACTTGAAATGAACAACTCCTCTGCAAACATACCTCATCTATCAGCAACATTTCGACATTTTCATCTCCTGCACCGAACTCCATTATCAATTGTCAGAGTTATGACTCCTAAATGATCGAAAACCAGCTGCTACTGAAGAAGTATAATGATGAAATCGTTATAAGTTCTTTATTCCGATTAACAGCTACTTAAAAGCTAACGCTTACAAGTGTAGTATTTTACAAGTTACTCTAAAAAAAATTTACGATTTTTAAAGCAGATTTCAGCAGTTTCCTCTTTTATTTATAGTCCAAGACAAATGGTGTTTTTGACCGAAGTTTCTAAACCACGCTGCTTAATACGCCCTAGTAAGTTTAGGAAGTCGCAAAAAATTGGGCGATCGCCAACAAAATCTACAGAAATATCCTTTTGGAGAATTTGGCGTAAGACCCTTTAAGTATACATTTTTAAAGAATATGAAAATACATGTGCAGTGGGTCGAATATATCTTGTTTCTGATTAAGTATGAATGTCCCAGTATGATATCTTAGCAACATGATACAAAAACAAAGTTTTCAGAAAAGCCGACATTGGAACGATAACTGGCCCGCCTCAGATAAGTAGAAGACAGAAATATGTCAGGAGAGTCAAGCAGATAATGTACTCGTTTATCTAAGGTGGTGACAATTAGATTTATTTGACAGTTGAGTCATCAAGTTTCCTGACACCAGCTATACTGGCCGCGAATTAAAATTTAACAAGAGCGGGAAATAAGGAACTTCAAATCGAGTTTTCTCAAGAATAACAAGACGTGAACGAAAATAACTACCAAGACTTTATCTCATTCGTTTAAGCTACCTAGCAAGAAAAAAAGTATAATTTTTACTTCAGTCTCCTTTTAGCTCTGTTGTTCGACAACATTGTTAATGATCCTCTCAATGGCGTAATCTTCCTAACGGCGGAATGTTGTTTGACCGAAATGATGATTTTATAAACACTTAATGATGCAAAGATCAATGCAAAGATCTAATGTATATCAACATTAGTAATGATTTTCCCAATGGGGTATGCTTCCCTTTTTGGAAATTTTCGGTTTTTCATGTCAACTAAGCACTGCTATTTCATATTAAGTTTCCAAAGAAAAGTTTCGTAAAATATAGTAAAACGAGCGCGAGCTATTTACAAAAACGTATTTTCCAACTGAAATCTTAAGCCCATCAAAGTGTCAATAGTCAATTATATGTAACATGCCATCATAGATGACTTCCGATGTATTGTTTGCGGCAAAACATCCTGGCTCTTTGCATTTCTTTCCTGTAAACATCTGCACGAGCCGGGTGGCCTTTGCTATCTGTCGTGCGTATTAGACTAGACCGTGAAAGAAGAAAGTTAAAAAGAACAAAAGTCCTTAGGAAAGAGCTAAAAAGAAGCTAGGCTGCATGTGAAAGAAACAACTTCAAATCGAAATGGCCGGCCAGCGGATTAAACTAAGTAATAAAAAGGTAAGTTTCTAAAGAAACTATGGTGCAGCGTCGGTGGGAGAGTATGGCAGGTAATTTAGTGTTAACAACTGAGTTAAAAACGTCAATTAGCCACCGTAAAGGGTAAAAAAGCGGACGTTTCGAGCGTTAGCCCTTCGTCAGAGCGATTGAGGGAATCGCTCTGACGAAGGGCTAACGCTCGAAACGTCCGCTTTTTTACCCTTTACGGTGGCTAATTTACGTTTTCAACTCAGTTGTTAACACTAAATTACCTGAATTAAACTAAGGTTTGTCTGGGGAAAAATATGTTTCACTGAGAGTCTCCTGAGACTCCGCAGGACGCTTGCTGACTGTGGGGTCGATCAAGATTCCCCGCACTGCTATGGTTCGCATCAATGCAAAGCTTTGCGATCCAACTTTTTACTACGAGCTCTCTAAGACTGTGGAGTACCACAGTATTTGGCCCCTTTGTCTTCCTGATCTCATAACATACCTACCAAATTCATTTAAGGTAGGCTCTTCTAGAATTTACGCTGACGCCACTAACATCATTTTTCGTGCTTCTGACATACCTGATCTTGAGACTCAAAAGGCGTGGATTTTTGGCTAAACTACTTAACTTGACTACTAGCTTAGAGCTACTAGTTTAGATATCCATGTCGCCAAATCAGAGTTAATGATAATCAACTCGAAGCAGAAATTTCATCGTGAATATGCAATGGTTATTAATGTAGAAGGTGTCCGAGTAACTCAAAGAGACAAGGGCGCATCTCTTTGGCGCATGATCTTCATGACATAACATTGGAAGGAGAAAAGTAGAGTGGACTGTCACTGACAAGGGGCACCCTCAGATACTTTGAGAAAGCCTAACAAACAAAACAGGAGGACAAGGGGCCTTGGTCAAAATGGATTAAAATAGATTGAAACAAGCCAAACAGAATATTTATATTTTGATGCTGTTTGACAGCTTAATGCAACACGTAAGTGATTTAATCAATAAACTATAAAATCACGCTGCCTGAGACGTCACTGCTCGAGATGTATCATCTTGGAGAATTATCTACAGGTGGTTTTCTTAACATTGCCGGCATCTATACTGAAAATTAGTAAACCAGTTTTAGGGAATTTTCATTTATTTTCTAAACGAACGATTTTTCTAACCGTGTTTTGCAAAGTCATCATCATCATCATCATAACTCCTGTATCCGAGGAATATAGAGAATTTACAACTAGAATTTATTTCGCACACATACCTGTGAACTCACTGTTATTTCTTGTTTACTGTAACTTCGACGTCGTTCAAAATTATCGTTCAACACAAGGCGGCAAATGAGCTTTGTTACCAACAACAGGCCTATTATCACAGTCATCAATAGGTCATGCATCAACAAGCGTGAGAAACTCACCTACCATTCTTATCGGCGGAATTTTGTTTGACCCAGATAATTCTTGTATACACAAGCGTGAGAAACTCAACCAACCATTCAGAGAGCACATGTCATAACACATAAATATTTTTCGTTTTGAAAACAATAATTTACACAATTTTTCAGTAGAAGCTCTTCAGAAAGACGTCGTCTTCAATTGTTTACTGTGTCCGGATGGCGCTACGCCTCAGCTTCTGCATAACGTAAGGGGAACTATGATGTTCTTAGGCCACTCAATTTTTGGTATTTCTATCCGACCAATGGCCATTGTTCGAGTGATCATACCATTCAAGCACCAAGAATCAGCAAATCATGTTAATAAACAACTTAAGGACCTCAGCCTAACAGTACAGGGAACTGTCAAACACGTGTTCGTTAGCCGTAAAATCAACCAAGACCTAAAAGTAGAGGAGAAAAAGCCACAGACTGTAAACCAGCAACGTGTTGTTTATCGTTTTCAATGTGACCTGTGTGATGCAGGTTACGTGGACTACACGCGCGGACATTTAAACGTTGGTGTGGACGCTTATAAACAACGGTCATCTTCTATATATAAACACTATCCCTGAAGACCTACTGGGGTGCTTCGATGTTCTTAAGAAATGCAAAGATAAATTCGATTGCCTAGTGCACGATATGTTATTGATCAGAGAACTAAAACCAACTCTGAACGTGCAATCCGACGAGAATGGCGTCATGAAGACTCCGAAACGTCGGTTCATATCGCTGATTTTATCCTTGTTTATATATATAACTTAATATTTCTCGATAATGATTGCTTATAGTACGTTATATTGAAAAGGAGGGTTATGCAGGCGTTCCATCATGCTTTGCGTCAGAAGTAATGGGTACCTGTTTGCGTCGATTCGTTTTTATGGCTTCTACCTCCTGTGGGGGCTAAGCCATAATGTTGTCCTGTTGAGTGAGTGAGGGTTACAATAGAATACGAACGACCTCGTCGTCCACAACGAATTCTGCCGAGTTTTACCCTGCTTTTGTTCGAATCGTTTCGCATGTTACACAGAATATTAGCCGGTGATCACACCGTTTTTCACTATACTCTTGAATCATCTTTCTCATGTGGAACAGGGCTCTCATAAGTATGTGGGATGCGGCAGGTTTTCTGTTTTGCATGCGAGAAAAATCTTCTGCAAAGCTACGTTACAGCATTATCACACCCTCTGGTTCTTTTCAATACTATAAAAATTGTATATTATATATCAGTAGCTATATGCAGTCTTACCTGCCTATTTTTTGAGAATTGACAAAATTCCCGGCAGATGAACATATTAATACTTAGATTCAAGTCGGTTTAGAATGGGAATTTTGCGGAAACAGCGTGCACGGTAAACGATAGGGACCTTAAACAGTCGGATGTGACAATGACAAGGAAGACGTCGATACAAATGAAAAAATATCTTCACACCTCAACACCTCAACTTAAACTTAACTTATGTGAACAGGGTTAAGTTTCAAGCTTAAATTATTTCCTTTTCTGGGTTTCCTTCTCACATCACGTAAATTTTGGTGATTTCACATTGTTGTTTGGCAGAGGACGGCTAAGAAAGCAAATGCTAAGTTATCGTTCTGCTCATTCGCTCTTTTGTTTTGCCACGTCCTCGTTGCCGTTACAGTTGTGGTTTGTTTAAGGTCCCTTATCTCTCCCAACGAATTATCATTGGAACAATACACAACTTTTTGCTTCAAAGGATAACAGCCTTGACAAAGTAGTGTTTGGGGTATTTATTCAGTCACTGCTTACAGGAATACTGTAGACGTCTGGCTTTGCCCTTTGTTTGCGGTTGTTGCCGCACGTATGCGCGCGCAAGGAGGATGCCGTCTATCAAATTGAGGTCCATACCGAAAATTGCGCGCGCTTACTGCGGAAGGCATATCTTCTACAAGGCTATTGATTATTTGAATGGGGTATTAAACTCGTACTTCGTCTTTTAGGAGCAGCTAGTCCGTGCTAAATGGAGCAGAACCTTAAGCTTCATGGAGAGCTTATCGCACCCTGCTTATCCTAAGGAACAGCTTTTTAAACTCATGTCGACAGGGTTAATTTCTTACTTTATGCAAGTGTAGATCAAGTAAATTCACCCTCTTTTGCCTTATCCATGGGATGTCAAACATTTTCCCACCCTTTCCCCTAGTTCACAACAATTCGACCATTTTCAGTCATTTTTCTTTGGTCAGACTTGGTGATACATTATTTCTGAACACCTCTCTCAACATTTAAAGCAGTGTGACCTCCATGCCAATATTAGATCATAAACAATGCTATCACGGGATCGTTAGGAAGCTATCACGTGAAGAAGTTTCTACGTGGGATAGGAAATGATTTGCACGCTTGTCCTGATGATTATCATGGGATGAAAATCAGTTATCACCGATAAAAATATCACTTTCGTGGGATACAGAAATAATTATCACGCGACAAGAAAGGAACATCATTCACTCAGTCGTGTCGAATGTCAACATGACCAAACTGCATAATAGTGTTTCTAGACTATCAGGACCGTTTGAACGGGCTTTAGAGTGACAATTTTGTGGCACAAAATCGAGAGAATGCTTATTGACACTTTCCTGAGCAAAAAATGTAATCACATTCAAATATCTTTGAAGGTTGCTTCAATTTTCTATTGGAGAAAAACTGAGATTTGGTCATTTGCTTTCATCCGTATTAATTGAGTAACCCTCTTACTCTTACGACCCTCCTGTCCGGTTTTAAAACGATCCAGACAACTGCCTGTCACACTTCTCTAAAAGTAGCCAATCAGAAGCGAATATTTTCGCGCCTCATGCGCCCCGTACTGTGTCACGGAGGTGTCACGCTAGATATTCAGTGCCATGTGCCGAAGTCCGAGTTTCACAACTTTTACGGCCGTTCAACGCTCTCATTTAGTCTACGAAGTTTCTCTAGGCATTCATTTCTCTGGGAAGGTAGGTTCTGAATTTTTAATTTGTATGTAAGCGGCTCCTTTTAAAGGTAAATTTTCAGGAAGCAATCCACTCTGTTTTTAGTAGCGCGGGTGTCAGAATTTCTGTCAGTGTAATGAGTAGTACATCTACTGCATTATTCTCTGTCGCAATATTAAACTTCAGTCCAGATTTCTGCGTTTTTCATTGAAAATTACATAACTGTTGAATGAATTTAGAAGTCAGGATATTCAGGAAATTAAAGCAACGCAACAGGTTGAATGGTTCGGCATTGAAAACTTTGTAATTTTGTGGTGTACCCTAAATTACCACACAGCATAGAAATTTCCTCGTGATCCTTAACTTGAATGAAATTTGTTGAGAAAAAGAAATATCCTCTCCTTTACAATTCTATATCTCATTATGCGTGTCTATATCTTTATTATTATAAAGTAAACAAAGGCCTAAACAATAGGTTACCTTTGTTATCATGTACTAGCAAAGGTTATAGACTGAAAACTTTCCCTTAAAATTTCTGGGAACTTTAAAAAAGTTTTGAATTGACTTTATTTCAGTAAGTTGATATTCAGTTGAAAATAAACAAAAGGGAATGAACCCCAGAAACTCTGTAGTATATTACAGAGAGCATACTGTGCTGAGGTCAATTTACGATTAAATTTTCAGTGAACGAAACAGGCCATCGAATCAAAAATTTATCCTTTTACTAGAAACAACATCCAGAGAGTTGCCAAATCCTAGAAAGTACATAGTACACTTGCTGTAATTTAATCCTCTACTCCTAAGATCTAAATTTTAATTCTCCTCACATTCTGCTATACACTGCCTATAATTTCCTATCAAAGAATATGGTATTGAGTCACATTTTTTATAACCAGTTGATTTTTATTTTTTCTCATCACCTTTCAACTAAAATGTATATTGATACTGTAGGGAGAAATTCCTTTTTGGTCACCCCTTGGGGGAAAATGTTAATTTATATGTCAGTATACATGTATTATTGGAAGGAAGGTTTTCTTGCCATGCTCCAATCTGTACTGAGTTCTCATGTTTAACTAATTTTTACCAGTTCACTGTTAACTTTCAATTTTTCTAATCACTTCAGTTCGATTTAACTCTCAAATTGCTCATGATGTGTGTTCTATTTTCAACCCAGCAATCAACTTTTGATTATTTGCATCCTTATGTCTCTTTGATGTGGCAAGTCAGCTGTTGAGTTTAGAGTATTCAGCTACACTGGCTGAATGGAGCAGAAGAAAATAAAATAGAGTGATGAAAATATCAAGTGAAGAAAAGTCTGACAAATGGGCTTTGTTTTAAAATTAATTGTGACATTCTTCCCATTGCAACATGGTACATTTCACCGACTTGAAAAACATTGTTTAATTTAAAATTGTTTTTGTCAGATCTTGACAATATTAGTGCTATCAGAGCACCCCTTGATTTCACAATGGGAAGTAAATATTCTGTTTGGCTTGTTTCAATCTATTTTAATCCATTTTGACCAAGGCCCCTTGTCCTCCTGTTTTGTTTGTTAGGCTTTCTCAAAGTATCTGAGGGTGCCCCTTGTCAGTGACAGTCCACTCTACTTTTCTCCTTCCAATGTTATGTCATGAAAATTGGTCTCCAAAATTTGGTCTAGCATCACTTACATGTAGGTATCTCTGTTCTAGACATTTTCTCTTACCATCTCCTTGAGAGGGATTAGGAGAATGCCAATGCTAAATCATTATGCAGTGTATGAAACCTTTTCTCAAAATTACATCTGGAGAACATCAGTTGGCAATAGGAGGTTTTAAACTACTAAAAGGCATGAATATAGTTCTTGCAAAAATTTAGTTAACCTCTCTGATATTATGAAGGAGCAGTACTCCTCAGCACACAAAAATACTATCATTTATGGTAAATATCTTGCATTTTACAGTCTAGAAATGCCCTATTTTGCTAGATGTGATCAATTTTTGTAATTCCTTGAAAGTTATGGTTCATCTGTAGCCATTTTACTCTTGTAAGTACTAACTCCATTTTGGTATATAAAGAAGGAGCAGTATTCCTCAGCTCTTTAAAATACATGTATTTATAGGAAATTTCTTCTAGGTTTGAAACCTCCCTGTTTTGCTAGATGCGATCACTTTTTGTGAGCCCTTGAAAATTATGGTCCATCTGGAGCCATGTACTTTAGTCACTTAGTTAAGCAGAGAAGTGCAGAGCCCAGGTTTGATAATGAGCACAGCACACCTTTCATTTTCCCAGGCCCTGAATTATGATCTAAAAGAAAAAAAAGGTGGTGTTTTAACAGACTTATGAGACAGTCACAATACAGACAGGTATTACTAATGAATTTTTATTAGCACAGAGGATAAAGAAGTGTCTATAAGGTGTAACGTAAATTTGCTAACCTTTTAAATAGGGATTTCATTCTTTTTTTCTTTGAACTAGGTGGATTGGGACTATCAAATACAAATATAAAAGAGGCTGTTGTGAAAAGAGAACATGACAAAGTTTAAACAATGGAGAAGGGTAAGTTTTAACACTCATATTTTCCACTGGTACCACTAAGAATTTTACAAGTAAAAATTTTTGACAATATAATTGTGGTGCAGTGTTATCCTTGGTTTCTTTCTTTTTCCTCATTTGTTTTTGTGCATGATTATTTGCAAAGATTGGTTGGAATATGTGTATAAGGAAAATGAAAGTTTTCATAGGATATTGATCCCCAACAAATATACCAGCATCCAATAATTATCTTTTGATTTATAAATGAATTTTTCAACATCCTATGAACAGTTAATCATGTTATGTGATTAGCTGGTTTACAGTAGTCCTGAAGAGGAAAGTCATCACTTACAGTGGCTAACTGATGACTTTCACTGAAGTTGCCAAATTAACAGTCTTCTATAGGATGGAAATAAGAAAGCACAATTTTTTTGATCTATGACACTAAAGGAGGTTCAACACATAACTGTCCTTTTAATTGTGATATGAAATAGGTCAAAACATAGATGCATGTAGTTCAATTTGTACGTCTTTTATGGGCTAGGAGATCTCTAGTGATTACCGGTATGTTTTTGTTTACAAGAAGTGAGTGCCACATCCATCAGTTGGTTACAAGCTAATGGTGGGAATATTTTCCTCTTCATGACTTTTGTGCTCCCCTCCCCCCCCTTCCCTCCTCCTCAGCCCCATGACAGTTGCAATGAAGTAATATCATGCTTTAAAAGTGGAATTAGGAGGGCTTAAACCTGTTATGTGAATTTAGATATTTTTAAGAATTTTCTAACAAATTTTGTTCAAGATACACAAGAGACACTTGCAAATTTAGAGAGAAATGCTGGGTCCAGTGGGTGTTTCCATGTTTGCTCCTCCTTTCTGAGCCGCTTTTCTGCATGCGGTACTCCAAGTTTGGAACTTTCATTAGGCGATTGTGAATAGAGGTAGCCAAAGTATGACCCTGATCATGTACATGCCAATAGTTACTGCACATGCTGTGTATTAGAAAAAAACCCTAAGGATGTAATTTTTATTGGTTTGTTTGGATTTCATTAACTGAAGGCAGTACAAAATCATCGGCACCCCTCCATTAACATCAAAACATCTCTCCTGAAAATAAAGTAATATACTCTTCTGCATCTCCTTATCTTCTCCAACGTGCTATGCTTTATGTTTTTCATCAAGAATTCAGGGGAAAATTCAGTTTTCTTTTTTTCTTCTCTCGGAAGTAAGTAAGGTTTTGGCTTCGTTATATACGTTTTTCATTTCATGCTGAAACTTTATTGCATGAGAGATGCTGTATTTAGTACTCATACAGTGATAATACAGTGATAAATATCAATCCATGGTCTGTCTTATTATACTTAGGAGTTACTTCTGCTGCTTTCAGTGATAAGAAAAGTAAATACTAGGAAAATCATATATTAAATACATTGTTACGCGTGCGAACGGTGCTATTTACATAGACCATAAGATACCATAATTATTGTATAACCTGTAACTTATACCCAATTCAAACCAAAGAGCAAAAACTCCAGAGCTGTTTTGTTATACGCAATTTAAAAGTTGCATCCAGCACAATGAAAATGCAAGTTAGCGATGATATAAACACTATGTAAAATTCAGTTTTTAGATTTTCTGTTGGTGATTTTTATTGAATTAAACCTGGTTTAACAAAAACTGTTTTGTTGGTTTTTATGGCGTAGCATCTATGATAGAAAACATGTTTTTGTGGCTTCGGATTTCAGGAATGATGTGATAATTGAAAATGCGTTTGTTCAGGCATATTCGATTTTCGACGCCCGAGGCGTGTAAAAATGCTTGAGTCGTGAGGTAATAACGAAAATCTATACCTTGTAGTAGACATGCCACTTGTGCGAGATTTGTCACATTGTACATTAGTGAGTGGGAGTGACCAGTCTCATTAAATCAACATTTATTTTGTAGAACCCTCACTAGAGCTCGCAGCGTCCAATTCTTTAATTTTCCAAAAATTTTGTCAGATGTTTTTGATGTGTCACAGGAAGTGACACTGGGAAAGGAAGTTTCGCGGCACTGTTTATTTGTTTTCTTGTATTGAATAAAACTTTAGTAAAATTAGGATTAGAAATTTCGAGAAATCCTTCTGTGATGATTCAATTTTCAAAGACAAATAATGACACTATCAAAACAAAACTAAACGCAACAAACTATTTATCGACATTAGTGAATGTGAGAGTTATTTGCGATGATACGAATGTATATATATTTCTTTCTGAAGTTCGCTTGCGAACATGGTAAATTAACAGTCATACAGTATTTAGAATGCTTTGTATATTTTGCGAAACCCTACAGCTCTTAAAGATGCGATCATGATACATTAAGATTTATGCAGAATATAACTTAGATATGAGTATTGATTTCATTTGTTTCGGTTTGAAATAGTTTATTCAAATTTTTGTCAGCGATACATCTCAGCAAGGAGAGTTCTTTATGTACTTTCATAACCAAAATAATTCAGTCGTGTGACTCAGGAGGGCATAGCATTCGGCAGTTATGGGTGGAAAACCTTCCGTGTGCATCCAGGTAATTTGAAGCATAACAATCAGTTTAATTTGCGTTCTTCAAATAACTTGAGGGTTCTAAAAATTATGACTTCACATCCAGACATAAGTTTTTTTTTAACTTTCATGCCACAGGAATAAAAAACTGCCTGTCTTCAGGAGATCCTCATGTTTGAGAGATACGATGACATACCTTTTCTTCTACATAGAAAATTAGCGCTGTGCCTTCAACCTAAATTAGAAAACAAAGGTGCGATTTAAATATCGAGCATCGATTGCATTTCCTTGAAGTTCTTTCTTTTGATGTTTTTATGCAGTTTACCCGTAATGTTTTGGTAAAAAATACTTGTTCTGTTAAAAAACATCACGTGACCGTGGCAGCTGTTCGAGTCACATGATTGGCAGGTGGACGAAGTAGATGTTTACTTAGTTCTGTTTTACTGCAACATTTTCCCCCACGTAATATCTGCATGTTTTTTAATTTTTTGCGTCTAAATTTGATTATCTCTTCGTTTTACCGTTGTTAGATTTCATATGTCTTCTATTCATTTTGTAAAGTATAACTTTAATTAATTAGACTGAAGAGTTTCTACCGTTGTCTCAATGTTGGAATCCATTTTGCTAAACTCAGAGCGTGGGCGTTGATGGCAATGTTTTCCATTTAATTTGACAGTTGAAATCATCCAAGTGAATGCAAATGTGCCTTATTTATTGGTCCGAAAGCTTGTGTCATCATATCATCATTCCAGCGAGGTGTGTTTCATTCCCTAGTTACTCGATAATAAAAGCGGCGTGAAAGATCCTCGCTTTCGCCAACTATGAATTCTTCGCCGAAATATATTTCAGATGAAATTTTCGAGTTCAAAAAACAGGAAAATCCTCGCTACCACAACGATGTCAACACCAACAGCAACCTGAAGCAAAGTTTAACCGTCGGTACCTCTCCATACCGTACAATTTTTTTTTTCGCAAAGTCGTGATTCTCTCGAATCGAACGGAAGTGTTTACGAAGCTGTGTCGATCGGAGAGACCAGTTTTGGCGGGAGTTTCGGTCACGATGAAACGGATGGCAGTATTTTTGGCGGGAAGTCTCATTCCTTTGCGGCTGACGATGCCCAGGTGGTTCCTAATTTCAATGACATTTTAGAAACAATTCATGTTGACTTGGATGAAAGTAATACTCGATCCCACGTACAGTTTATCACCGAATTCGAATCTCCCACTGATACTTGTGGTCTTCAACGTAGAAACTTTGACAGATCGCTTCTGAAAAGGAGGAACTCTGAGCGTGACGAATTGGAGATTTATTTTCCCTGTGTTCTAACACCGATCCCCGTTGATCGTCTGTATAGCACTCTTGTTGACGATTCGACGGTATTCAAGTTTCCAACAAGTTCGGATGAATTCTTACCCGAGCATAGAGACAGTGGTGGCTTGGTAACTCAAGCACAAAGTTTCAGTCATTCTGTTCCCATGTCAGAAAGCAAGAATACTTTAGAATCGTTTGGGAATTTTAACGTGTTCTTAAAACCAAACGGTAGTCATGAACAGTTTGACCCATCTGCTAATATGTTTGAGCTACCTACGGCGACTTTCAGGATGAAAAATCTTCCTGATTCGTGTAATTTGATCCAGGAGAAAGATTACTATTTGGGGAGAGGAGATTTCTGTCACGAAGGTAATGGATCACCACATGTGGTTGATAAGAATACGCCGGTATCACTGTCCGTCACTGGTGCAGAAAATAACCACAATCTTCAGAAGTCCCTAAAAAACACTTTTTTCTTGGAGGCGGTGAATACAGTAGATCGAAATTACATTTCGAAGGCTTCGATGTCTCTTTCAGGGTGTCCAACCTTTTGTGAAACCTTACCATTTCAGTTAAACTCTTCCAAGCTCATCGAAAGCGTCACCAAATTCCCGCCGACCTTGGGAGAGAATACAGATCATTCTCTTAGTCGCATTTTGCCAGAAGAATGCTTTACAAACAGTTTTTTTGATCACAACCCTGCAAAAGAACTTCCCTCGAAGAAGCAGTTACAAGTTAAAGGCAGCGACGAAGCTCTTCAACTTGCTCGTGCAGAGACTTTGATTGTTAGCGATGGAGTATTTTCCAAACTGGACTCAAGTCTATGCAGCGTGCAGGATGACTTATGGAAAAGCACGCAGAGACGAGAACGGGAACTGCAGCGTAATCCAAAGAAAACTAACATTGAAATAAAGACAACTGCCTCTCCGAATGCTAACCGTTCGGCGTTTTTATGGGAAATAGTGAAAGACCGAAGGATAGCCACAAATCGAAGCGTTTAAAAAGAAAGGTAACCTTGAGGGAGAAACACGGGACCTTCACAACGATATGGAAAAACAGCGAAGAACTAATATGAAAACACGCTTTCAAAATCTTCGCCTGACCTTGCCTGAATTGAAAGACAAAGAGAAAGCTTTGAAAATTGTCATATTGCAGAAGGCATTCCAGTACATTGTCCTGTTAGAACAGGAATCGATAGAGCTAGAAAACAGAAAAAAGAGCCGAAAGGCAAAGAAATATAGATCTTTTGGAAAAACTACAAAAAAATAACTTCAGGAGATTAGTTGACGAAAAATGTGTGAGGATAATTTGATTTAACGTTTGACTTAATATCCATTGTACTTTATTGTAAACTTGAAAACATTGAGCAGTTTGATTGTTACTAGAATGTTGTCATCTCCCTCACCATTTTGCTGAAAAAAATGATGATTTTAAAATAATACGTCAGTCTACTTGATCGCTTTATTCGTGACTACTTTTTACATTATATCCGTTCGCAAAGATGTCGCTTTTCCTACGTCATTTTTTTTCTTTTTTTTTTTTCCTTTTAATTGTACATTAATTCAACCAAGTCTCATCGGTTATGAGTTTCCACTCAAAGCAGAAATATAATATAGCGTCAAGCACATCAGTGATGAGAATATAAAGAGGTGCTCCAAAGGGGAAATTATGTGATTTAATTACCAATTCTCCTAACTACCATTCCAAGGATACGTATCATGATCGCTTAGGAGAAGTTCTGTCCTATGGCGATGTCCATGGTGTTTAAGTCTCATGTAAGTCAACATTTAGTTTTTTCCTCCCTAAAACCTAAAGTTTTTGCTTGTCGTTGGAAGTTGTATTGCCAAGGCCTACTCTACTGAAATTGTGAACTAACAAAAAGGAAGTAAAAGTTGTTGAGGCAAAATAAAAAAGAAGTGATTAATTTTCACCTGTCGTGTTGATCCCTGGTGAGTACCAAGGCTGTGTTGTTTTTATTTCCCTTGATTTGTCAAAATATTACTATTGTACATAGTATCATTTATCTACAGTGTCCGACTATTATCGTTTTTTTGGAAAATAATGCCAGTGTTCGATTTGTAACCTTGAAAAGGCATTGCATTCTGATCTCTTAACGCTCATTTCGTGCGAAGATTGTCCCGCTTAAAACATGTTATTTAATCCATATGGTGTCTACCAGGATCTAAAGGTTATCGAGGTATTGGTCACAACCAGCATTTTCTTTATTATGACGTAAGGAACTAGTAAAGAGGTGAAGAAGTGATTATCATGTCGCAACTTTGTACAAGATCTTTTCGCATAACATACGAGAAGTCTCAAAAACTAAAGGAAATGTATAATTATTTTCAAATTTTATATATGTTTTTTTATTTAAGTCTTGCCTGACCTAGCTTTTTCTCAGTGAACGAAGCAAAACTGGGAAAAATATTTTCAGTCGTGTGTTTGTACCAAAAGAGATAGAGAAGCCTAATCAACCTTCGAATGAAATATTTACATCGTTAAGTTAGCGCCTATCTCGCGCTTGGATGTCAAAGGCAAACTTCACGCACAGGTCAATTAATTGACGCCAGGTTACCAGGAAACCACGCTGTTTGCCGCCCTTTTGGAGAAGCAAGTTGCCGTGAGAGCTCAATTAACCATGAGAAGCACGCTTCAGGCGGGTCTCTGAGCGATTATAGGGATTAGAGATGTCCAGTGCGACAAAGTAACACCAGATTACAAGCAATCTTAGCCCTGGTGCCGGGCATAATCAAATGGAACATTATTGTTTTTCAATCTTTTTTTCTCCTGGCTTGTACACCCACGTTGATGGTTCTCAATGAGGCGATCGATGCCTTCAACGCCCGCACGAATTTTTTATAACTAAACAGATTTGTAACAACTGAAGATGATGTTTTTAAAAAAGGTCATGTACGTATTCAGGGAATTCTTTTTACAGAAAGACCACATAAATTCTTCTCAAATCTTAATATTGACCAGAGGTAATTGGAACATAGAACAGCTCTGGAGCTACCTTTGTGATATTTACCTAAAATAACCATTTGTAATTTTAACTGGAGAAGTCTCTTGGCGCAGTTTTTAGTTCTACGTCCGGGGCAAATTTATGGTTATTGTCACTTTAATTGTTTTTTAACTGGTTTATGTCATCTGAATATAATTTTCATATCCCAGAGTCAACAGCCTGGTTTCGAGAAGCAATACCCTCTCTTGTCAGTATTAATTGTCGTGTCACAAGTTCGAGTTTTTTTTTCTACCTAATTTGATAACAGAATCTGTTAAGATGTACTTGTGCCCAATAGTCACAGGGCTCTTTATCATTGTCATGAAAATCGAAGTTTCCATGTTGAGATGAATTGTCTAGAGTATCCCGTCTGCCCTAGTGAAACCGCCAGCGAGGACGCGTGAGAGAGCTGAATATTCCGTAACTCCTTTTTGGTTTTTATGAGCTATTTTATGTCCTCTTTTTTTTTTTTTTTTTTTTTCCTCAACATCTTGAGGTTTAATATCCACTTTCTTTCCTTTCCAATAGTACCCTTTCCTTAATGTTTTCTTCATCCACCATCTCAGGCTTTTTTTTCTTTTTATTCCGCATTCTTTAGCCATAATGGGGCACGCATCCCTGACAGATGAAATTTCATTACGGCTATGGGTGACACTAAAAATCTCTTATAGCATTGGGGAAAAAAAAGCAATGGCTCCTTTTTTTGTTTCGTTTCACCATCAGTTAATAAAAAGTTCGGTTTGATGGAACTCTACTTTCGATTTGGGAAAGTTCGAAATATGATCTCGAAAGCCCTACGTGTTATTCCCTTATGGCATGTATAACAAAAAATGCTTTCTGCTCGCTTCAATGGTATATTCCATGTGGTCTAAATTTAGCGAGGGAAGGTATTTAAAACCGTTTTGCATTTAAATGTAAGTGAAAGGGTGCTCTTTGTTCATTATTTCGACATGCATTGTGTTCTTAATCTGAGATGTATGAGCCATTACAGGATTTTCACTGCTTTGTGACAAAGGTAGTACCGTATGCCGCATAAGAATATAAAATGAAAACAACTCGTGTGGTGTCAAAGTTACCATAAAAGTGACGGAATTTACATTTTAAACCAATAAAGGGAAAAAAATGCCCCAGACTGGTGATCTCTTATTGTGGAAAGTATTTCACCGGTTGAATTACATGGGGAAGTTAGTGAACTAACAAGAATGCATTAAAAGATCCAGTGTTTTTTCGGCAAGCGTAAAATTGGTATGATAAATGGGTCTGATGTCAATTGTGTGATGACCTGTCTCAAAACAGTGTCATTGAACACAAGAACCAACTTCGAGTTCGAACTCCTCACTAAGATTACAACTAAGCTAATTCCAGTCAAATAATTTTATCAGTTCTCATTTCGCCTCAAGCATTAGTGTCCGATTTTTCGTACATTTCAACTTTACACGGGTTTGCTTTTCATGAAACCAGAGTAATCAGTGTTTATTTTGTAGCTTCCACCGGTCAGATTTTGTAGTGGGCGGGAATTACAACATGTTTCGTCTATTTCGCACTCTTATGTGGGGTGCCCGCTGTAAATGGAACTTGCCAAAGGTGTTGAAAACCAATCGAATTAGTCAGCTAACTCTTCTGACGTCAATTATTTGAGATTTTCATCGTGCGTTTTTGCATGTGTTAGAATGCAGATTGAAGGATATTGACTCGCAGGATCCGTTCTTCTGAAAGTAATTTACATTTGTCTGGTTCAAAATCCCCTGCAGTTTTGACTGTGCCTTGACATTTTGGCGAGGAAGTATGAATTTTTGTTAGTTAATCGAGCCCTAAGGAGATAAGAAGTTTACTCTTTTGTCAAAAGTTGTTGATTTTCAACCTTTTAAGTGCGATACAAATACATATTAACAAACGGGGCCGATATCAATCTACATTAAGGCGGGCGATGTTGGATCACTACCTGACAGAAATGCCTGCTTAATCCTTGGATTCCTTTACCAGAGATTTTGCTTAAGTATTTTGTCAAAGATTGCTCTCATTGTTTTTGTGTGTGTGTGTTCTTTATGTGTCCACTGCTGGTGACCAGTGTTATATCCTTCCGACACCTGCGCCTCCCACCTCTTCACCAACAAAAGAAACACGATTTGTGGAAAGGTGTCTGTGAAGGATTGGAGCAGTCAGAGGCGATCAGCCTCCGATTAAATGCTTTCGACTCTAATCTAGCTGAAACAACCGCGTTTATTCTTCTTCCGATGACTTCTAAGTGTATCGCTTTGTTCAGGAAATTCTATTTTATGAAAGGTCTCTCGTATGATGGAAGAAGGTTCATATTTTGCTATTTCTTTTAAGGTAGCACTCGTAGCTGGTTGTCAATTGCAAATGATGAACCGAGCGCCTGTGACGTTCAGGAACGGCGATTCAGCCTGACAGGTCGCTCTATAAACACGCGTTTGTCAAATGTTAAGAGTTGTAATTAAACTCCGGTCAACGGCGACGTTAACGCCAACAAAGAAACTGGTGCCACCTTCATTATGCAACATTACAGCGTGCCTTTCTAAATGCTCGCCGTTCCCTCGTGTTTTGATTGGAAATCGTTGCCACCAGTTAAGCGAATCTAGAGTTTCAGCCGTCTTTAAGAAGTAAGATTTTAACCAGCAAAGTAATTTTTGCACTTCACATTGCAGCATTGTTTGATCTGTTTCCCTGCAGGACTTTGCAACTGCACGGAAATTGTGCCTGTGTGTCGGAACGTGCACTGTCATTTAAGGTTCATTTAAATGGCTTTTGTGACCAGGTGGGTTGGCCATCTGAGTTTTATTTGAATTTGTATTGTTTACCTGTGGGTCTTTTAAATACACGTGCGTCCGTTAAACCTTCATTCATTTGTAACACACCGTGCATCGGGTTGAGAACACTCGAATGCATCCTCTTATCTCAAGCCGTACGATGATGAATCGTTCTCAACTCAATCTTTCACCTTGTTCTTCACCACTTGCCTCGTTTAAAGACAAGTTTGAATTCCCAGCCCCTTCAGACCTTTGGCCCTCATTTTCGTTCCCAACGCCACCGACTTCGCCGGTCGAATTCTGCAGCAACTGTCAAGAGGTTACGAAAGAGATGCGCTGGCACGCCGCCTCGGGTCCATGGGGAGAACTGAGGGAAATCTCGGACGAAGAAATCGAAGTGGACGATGTCCCATTCGAAATTGCGCGGCAATTTTGCGGAATGCGCGCCGAATCTCCCGCCATTCTCAATGACATAATGTGGAGCGGAGATCGAGTCAGGAGGCCAGATTCTACCACCGATTTCGAAGCTCGATTCAGTTTGTCGTCAACTCCGACATGCTTTGATCAACCGATTAGCCATACATTTGTCGAGCCGGAAGAGCTGTTCTCATTCTCGTTGCTAAGCCACTGCGGTGATCAAGACGTTGGTATGTTGGACAGACTCGCAAACGGTGATGCTGCCTTCAATATTCCATCAAAGGACCTTCCATCCGAAACAGGTATTTATTTTGCACAAAATATTTACTCATCGTCCTTTTGTCTCTTAAAAGAAAAAGAACAGAGAATAAAAATCTTGAGCCAAAGTAAATCTGGAAAGACACCGTGTTGCTCGAAAACGTGAAATGTCTCTTCGCCAATTTGTTGTTGTTATTTTTGCCTGTTTGCTTCGTTCTATTATATTGGCTTTACAGTGTTCTATGTCACGTGCCCAGCAGAGTTTTGATTTCATTTATTTTGATTTCCCTTTCTAAAATATACATGCGTGGTAACTACTAATCCGTGTTTGTTTAGGACAACAAAGTAAACATTAAGACAATTGCCTGGATTTTACAAAAATAATCAGCTTCTCTCTGATCCAAAGCAGAAGGTTAAGCCATTGACCCGCGAGCTCAAGAAAGTTGTTTGTTTTTACTTTCCTCTGAAAAAATTTATTCGACCTCTGTCTTTCGACAGCAGTGTTTCTGACTGAGCTGTGTTCTTAAATATCGGAAATATTGTTTTGGTTAAAGAACATCATTTAGTTGTCGAATATTGTTTTTTACAGTCAATTTGCACGCCGCTTTACTCGAAATATGTTTTCCTGTTTCCACACAAGGTGTTTCCTTATCATGATAAAGAATTCATGAATTTGTCTCAATTTTTTTAATTGTGATCCTAAACGACGTGAAAATTTCACTCAAGACACAACTCTCAGTCTTTCTTGACAGTTGTTGTGTAGTGAAAAATGCAGTAGTAAAATTGGAAAGTGTTAAATAGAAGTGTTATCTCTATAGGATAGGCTTGTTCTCTACTTCATGTACTCGAATTTAAACATGTACGTCACTGTTGAATATAGTCCAATATTAACTTGCAGCGTGCTGCAATCAAATTGAGATCAGATAATCTTCTTTAAGAAAGGGAAAGATATACGAACTAAACCAAATATGAAAAAAAATATTTTCGTCTTTTCACTGGTGGGATACCAAAGATTCTCAAACAAAAGATTGAACATGTTGAAAAATACATAAATCTAACTACGAGACTTCTGTTAAACGGTTTTGCCCAAAATCGTATTCCCTGTTTTTCTCTTTGATATCTCTTTAATTTTTGTTCAACTGCCTTTCTCCTTTTGTGATACAGAGGAAGATGAAATCGACGTTGTAAGTGTCACAGTAGACAAAACAAAGGAAGAAGTCGTCACCACCCGTCTAAGTCCAGACACCACCGAGCAGGAAGACAGATCGATGAACACCCCGCCAAAACAGCGCTGGACTAAAGGAAAAAACGAAGAATCATCCGAGCCGGGAAACGAAGATGGAAATGGACGTATTTCTCACAATGATTTGGAAAGGAAGCGACGCAACGATCTACGGAATCGTTTCCAGTGTCTTCGAAGAAGCATCCCATCATTAGAAGAGAGCGAACGCGCAGCTAAGATAACAATTTTGAGGAGAGCATCGGAATTTATACCTTTACTTCAAAAGGAGGAGGAGAAATTACTGGCGCTTAAAGCGGAAGAAAAGAAACGAAATGCTGCCCTTTTGAACACTCTCATGAAACTTACAAAAAACAAGAGAAGGTGAACGCAATTTGCGCCCTGAGGCATTTAGGTGTGGTTTTCGGATTTCCTCTTTCGCGTTCACACTTCACTAACACATATATCTTCATACTTGATCTTCATACTAATACTTTTCTAAACCATAATTATTTTGATATGGATTTTTTCTTGTGTACGCACAAATACTTTTCATTGTTAGTCGTTTTTACCTCGTGCAGAAATTTTTGTCAGCAGTGTTCACGGGCTCGTGTTGTTTTGTGGTTAATTCACGTTATCAATCAAAAAACGCAAGGGAAGTACTTGAATGTAACTAAAAGTTCTCTTTTCGTTGACCTAATATTTATAAGAAACTTGATAAAAAAGACAGAAGAACTGAATAAAGGAAATAAACAAAGCAAACAAACAAACAATAAAAAATAGCACATAATGGTACGAACAACAGCAAATAGGCTGCTGAAATGTGTAAAGCAGCTCGAGCGCTCCTCAAGATTCTCCCAAAATATTTCTCTGTGAAATATGCATAATCACAATGAACAACCTGTGGTGCTGTAGATTCTCAGTGGTACCTCAGTTAGTTGATGGTAACCTAGCTTGTCTTACTTTTGATATGATCTTTCCTGAACGCGTGTTTACTTCATCTATCCTCGTTGTCAGTTCAGTTGTCTTAATGGTGTTGTGTGAACAGATTTTAGAAGTATTTTTCTCGCTATCTCTCGCACTTTGGACGTCGAAGGAAATAAATTCAACGTAACTTTAGTGTTCGGCATATCATAGCCCACGCCATGATAAACCCTCTCTTTTCTCTCTTCTTCTTTACATAATTTACCCCACATTCCACCCTTCTTACCTACGAACAAAGTATCATTGAGCACAGGCACACCAATTTGCCTTGGGTAAAGTAAATTCAGAGAAATTTGTGGGAATATTCAAAATTCTTTAAAGTTCAAAATAAAAGTTTGGGAATTTTTTAATTTTAAGCAAATTACGCATGTTTATCAAATTTAGGGAAAGATCAGAAATGTTTGCTAAGAAGAGGGTTGAGATAAAAATTTTCAGCTCGGGGTTCGTTGGAACTACCGTCAAATTTATAATTTAGTTGTCTATAATTGTTTTTCCATTTGCTCGACATTGATTGATGCTGGTTATATGATAGAGCCTTGTTCACTCCAGCTGTTCTGGTTTGAAATTTTACGACGTCTATACCATGGCTCGAACGATCCTATCCAAAGCAATGTTTATGTCTCGTTTTACCTACGCCAGTGTTAATTCACGCTATGCTTTGCTTTGCTTTTTAGACAGAATTTAGTCATATCCTGTGATGTTTTTTTTTTTTTTTTTTTTTATGTATAAAATTTGTCCAAACAGATCACACAAACGTTACACTTTAAAAAAGACTCCAGACGTACATGCAGTCATAAGCTACTAGTAAAAACCAACTTGTTTACTAAATATCTCATAAATCTGCCGTTTTGCAGGAAAACACGCCTTTAAGCAAAAGAACACAAAAAAGGAAGAAATAATAACTGAAAACACCACGAACTCCCCTCCTGTTCGAGTTAAATGGTGATATCGCACAGCTCTGGGTATGTGGGGAGAGAGGGGGCAGAGGCTTACTCTTTCACTGTTTACAATTCGTTTCGTGGTAACTTGCAGATTAAACATCAACGAAACATGCGAACATTCAATCGGAGAATTCCACAACTGTTCCATTTTTTTTGTTCAGTCGTGAAAACAAATTAGAATAGGTATTGAACTGCATTTATTTGCCTAGTTTGGAATGGGAAATTTTTTAAAAAAGCCATAGATTCAGAGATTCCCAGGGGTTTTTACAAATCGATAAAGGGTCCTGCTAAATTTCTTAATTAAAGTTTAATTCAGATTTGAAAGTAAGTCAGTTCCGCTTTGTACTGAGGAGATATTTGGTTGTAGAGTTGTTGGTTGGTAATAACTGATCATGATTTGCATAACGCGCTTTTAATGCGTGTTAATCGTAAAACGCATAAAGCGAAAAAATACCCCAAGAAATTCATTAATTCAGTTTCCCAAACAGTTATCACTGGCACTTCGTTGAAAACACCTTCATGTACTTCCTCACCCAAGGTTTAACAAAATTTGTCCGACTTTCGTTAATCTCAAGTCTTAAATCCTTAGTAGGAGCGAAGAGAAAGAAAGTCTTTCACTATTTCACAAGAAATATTTATGTATTTAGGCAGTTCGCACAACAGTAAACAAATCTTTTCAGGTTTCTCTCCTGAGTCATGTGGCGTTTACCTAGTCATCGACCCTGTGACGTCATGTGCACGTGCCTCACACACCAGTGTGGTGCTTTCCGCGTAAACCAGAGTTGTTTTTCATTTTAGTTGTCACGTTATATCAATTATGTATCAGTCTTTCTATCTTTAGGTGCTGGTACCCGTTATGCAAGTTTTAAGCAGATTAAAATTTTTGTACTAATTGCCCGTCTATGCTTCACGAAGAAATTGTTTTTAGTGCTTTATTTAAATATTAACATGTCGTGATATTCCGTTTAGCGCAGTTAGTACGGGTTGGTTTTCCCTTTTTTGAGTTTAAAAAATTGCTATCGTTACTGATCATTTCTTGTTATTTGTTGCTTTCATAATATCCCATTGAAATGAACTGTTTAAGAAATCCTTTCATCAGGTATCATCCCACGTTTGTTGTTGTTTCAAGAGCCAAACAAGGCAAAATAAAATTAAACTTAATTTGTGATTTCCAACAACACCGGTTATGAACAAATAAATAGAGTAAGGATATTAATTAAAATCGATGTACAAAATGAATTTTATCGTAAGTTCTAGTTCTACTAAGCCGTAATGAAATTACGAAAAGACGTGTGTATAAACAATGCGACCGTAAAAGCTGACGAACAAAATGTGTAGGAGGTGGCAAATTTTTTTGCTGGTGGAAAAAGAAATGGCTGCTAAAAGTACACTTCCTTTGTTTTTCGGCTCGTCCTCTTTGACTCAAGTGTTATGACGCCGTAACGAGCTTTTAAACTTCAGCTTACAACCTGTGCAATTTTGTTATGAACTCTATTAATTTCTGTTCTTTTCAAAATTTGTTTTTATTTAGAATCAGTGTCGACTTTAGAGACCTCTTGTTTCTTTTCACTCATGTCGTTGACCTTCCAAAAAATTGTTTTTATAAACCATTGCAAGATTAAGTGTCACTTTGCAACCGGCCAAAACATATCTTTTATTTTACTTCCAAGGATAACAATTTTCTCTGAGATGAAGAATACCTGTCAACTTACTGTCTTGTGTTGTAAAGGTGTAAATGGTAAGGAGTGTGTTTCCTTTGTTTGTTTGTTTCTTCTTCTTTTTTTGTAAAAGAATTTGAAAATCCAGTAATTCATAATTCTATGCATTCTCATGTGTTTTAACATTCGTGCTACACAAACATTTTACATCTGCCCGAAGTAAGGCTTAAAATGGCTATGTGTAGACACGGTTGTTCGTATGATGTTAACTCGCTTCAATATCAAAATCAGTTTTTGGTGTGTGTTGGTTTGTATAGCAGTTTTAATTAATGTTGACAGTAATCTTGAAATGCGTTATTTTTCCTTCGTTATGCTCAGTGATTGATGAGAAAATATTGCCTCGAATGCGCAACCAGTCAAATGCAAACTTCGCACAAATAGCGTTTTCCTGCGCTCGAAGCCAATCACCAGCCATTACTTTGATTTCTTGGCTTCTTTTTGGAGTTTTTTTCGTCTTCTTTTTTGGCCGTTGTAATTTCTTTTAAGCATGGTTTTCGGCGCTCGATTGAAAAGGTTTCTGAGGTTTTAACTAGTGATGTATTCATTTTGGCTCTCGAACTTTAAGAATGTATTCTTTGTTGTTCAATATCTCTCTTAAATTTTGAAGACCAAAGACCCTTACGACTGCATTGATTGGTGAAAGGAAGCCAATATTTTATTCCGATAGAGTATTTGGGTTTTCCTATTAGGTAGCGCACATTACGAGTTAAGCCTGAGACTGTTTTTACTCCTCAATTACCTCTACATACGGCTGAATCCAGAGGCGTAATAGGACTTAAAATTCAGGCTCGCACTCGGAGCTGCACGCACATTTCCATTTGATAGTTGTTAATACAAGTGGATGGTATAAAATGAGACAAAAGGAACGTAACACACTGCTCTCTTAAGAAGTGGTTGTTATTGAGTTTGAGAAATGAATATTAACAGGATAAGCAGGAATGGTGCGGTTATGAACTGGAGAAAATGAATCAAAATTGAGTTAAGTTTACCATACGGGTTATATTCCAGGGCTTTGCCTTGGTTTCTCTGTGTTTTCTTCTGTTTCATATGCAAAATAATGCATGGAGACTCTCCCAATTGAACCTGGTATTTTAAAAGGTATCCAGTGGTTTATTATCCACGGTCGTCTCGTAACCTTTGTCTTGTGCCAGTGTCTGAGAATTTGTCGCCATCAGTAAAAGCACTCAATGCTTTGCTTTGTGTCCGGTCTTGTTTTGTTTTTTTGTTGTTTTTTACGTGACGAAACCACGAGGGATTTGACACTTCTTAGTGGTTTACTTGGCTTAATGACAAATACACTGGAGGTGAGAAAATCGTCAATCGAATATACCTTTTGATGAGGTTACGTTTGACAAAGGCAAGACTGCTATCATCTCACTTTGAGGTTTATAAATTTCTTATGGTTTGTACGTAAAGCGCGTCACAGTTCTTATTTAGTTTGAACCGCTACAAATCTACTGTAAGAATTTCTGTCGTAGAGTTGTGAAGTAATCGATAAGTATTTCGCTTTTTTTTTTTCCAGATTTCTACTTTTCCTCATAGTAGTAATATTTTTGTCTTAAACATAAAGTGTCAAAATTCTAACCATCTCCATCGTAAAATATTCTAAGGAACATGTGTGAAGTAAGAGTAATATGAGTAATCTTCACCACTGTGTCAAAAATTTGTTTTAGGAAAAAAAAAATATCTTGTGGGACTTTGACCGAAATTGACTACTTCGTGTCCCGAGTTGTAATGCAGTCAAATGTTGTGTTCCTTAAAAAGGTAGCCCTCACAAGAAATAAATGGTTTTGATCAAAACCGGATAGAAGAGGGCAATATCATCCCGTGAGTTTTGCACAAACAGACAAAAATGCTATGTTAAAAAAAAGAAAACATTAACTATCAGCAAGCACATCACGAACAAAGAGGTTCTTTTTTTTATTTTAAACTGGTCGTAGAAGAAGTGAGAAATGATCATTAATGAATTAAATTTCTTGAATCGCTATTTGAAGAAAGAATTGGCGGCTTGTTGTTCACCATGTCATGAAAATAAAATTTTCAACAAGATCATTCGATTTTGGAAAAATCGTGAGAACAACTATATTACAGTTGCGAAATATGAACCAATAACCTGTTACTAGCTTTTGTTTTCTCACAGCCTCCTATTTTCAATGAAGCCACCCGATCAATGGTTTTTGGAAACTGGTATATTTACAGCTTTGATGAAAAAGAAATTCAATCAACAACCTATTATTGAATGATAGATTGTTGCTTGAATTTTTTCTAACATGGGACTGGATACCGTGAAGTGAAGCTTTTAAAGATTAAAACTTAACGATTTTTCAGTCTCAAGACGTGCTAAAAGTATAAAAAGATCGAGTAAGTGTCTTTTTTTACTTTCTTCGAAGATAATTATGTCAAGCACTATTTCCATTTTTCAGTGTCTAACACAGCAGGAGTGAAGACATTATATTGTCTGAACTCAAGCGAACCTCGATAAACAAGCATTGACAAATCTTGAAGTTAAAGATGAATCTTCCTGAGGTCTTACGAACGCATTTTCATGAAAAAAACATAACTGCACGCGGTAGGATTTTCTATGGATAAATTTCCTATTGCTTTTTCAGCTTGAAGGCGATTAGCATGCTCTCTTGTTGCTTAAAATTGCTGTCTGTCCACGTGGAAAAGATTTTTGGGAATTCTAAAATTACGGTGGATGAGTCTAGTAGCTCCTTACAGAAAGGAACTTCTACACGATTATTTATTGATTGAAATATTTGAAAAGAGAGTATACGAGGAGACACGACAGACGTCAATCAATAGTAGAACTCGATTTTAATTGTACATGTACATAGAGTCCCCCCTTCCACTAGCTCCAAAGATTTCAATATCAGTTCTCTTTATTGTTAGCCGCACATTTCTTTTAATTTTAGCCTTGAGAATCTAAAAGCTAAATCAAGTGATAATCTTAAGATGATGTTTCTATTTCTTCTCGCCACCTTTCAGCTCGACCATGTACAGTTATAGAGTGAAATTACTCATCGGTCAGTCTGTAGAGTAAAGGGTAAACAGATATTGGAAGATTGGAAAGAATGTTACGAAGCTCTTTGTTCGTTGAAAATCTTCGATCGATGGAGCTGACGTAGAATTCAAAGAGTTCCTGGCATGTCCTGCATATTCCACCTGCTTAACAACTAACCATTGCTGGTTTGAATCCCCGAAAAGTTGAATGTCAGTATTACTTCCTCACTGAAAGTTAATCGGAAGTTTATCTGCAAGTACTTTTAAGCTTACCAGAATGTTGTACCGGAGGTGAGATTACAATGTAGTAAGCGTGGCCTACAAAACCTCAAACGCCGGCCCATTCCTTAAAAGATGTAATCATGTACATTATTTAGAAGGCAATGCTATGCTTTTTCGCCTCTCTCATTTTAACACATGGTACACGAAAGGCCCTAGAGAGGGTTTTGTGCTTTTATTTCCTTAACTCCCACCAAAATCAACTTTCTTAATGCTAAGGTGTTTAGAATACACAGACGTATCAGTTCGAGGATGTTGTCTCGATATAATATCAAATTCTCATAACTAATTTTATAAGCAATTTATAGGAACTACACAAGGGAATTTCTAAGTAGATCAATTTTAATGATTTTCCGAGTGAGAATTCTCTCCCTTTACCCCAAAACCCCAACCCTCCCCCTTCCCTATCCTCGCGAGGATTGTCGTCTGTCAGGCTGCTCCTGTGGTAAAATGACACCACTTACAGCACTTATGATAGAACCAGTATTATAATATTAGTACTAAAATATAATACAAAAATATATTATACTGGCAACCAAAAACCTCGGAAAGGTTACGTTACTAATGATACAAGTACAACTTAAGAATTATGCGGAGTGGCAACCTACAGAAGTGACAAATAAATTTGAGCATATTTTAACTTAGCAAAACTATGTATAAGTTTTCTCTATTTGAACAGGCTGTACTCTTCTTTTATTACTATTAACAAACATGTAAATTTGCGTATGATGGATCCGTGTTGTCTGAATTTTCGTTACGACATATTCCAAAGTTCAGTATGACCAGCTGGATTTCTGTGAAGGTTCGATATTTATATTGCGTAGACAACTAGGCAAGTAGTCTTCATTTTGACACTGTCGATATCTGAAAGTTTTTCCAAGCTGTATGTTTTTTTTTAATTGACTTTTAACCCACTCATACGTTATTTCTCTATCAAGTCGGGTAAGTTCCTCTCCTTACACGCGTATTTGATATTTTTTTCATTATTATTAAACGATATCTTAGTTCTACTTGATCATATCGATCATTTTCTGAGTAAATTTTGTAACGCATGAACACAAAAGGCATTTTCCTGCGCAGCTTTCGCATACAGTTCTTTCTCTGATCTTCCACTGCAATGCACACAACGGTGAGAGCAACAGGGTGGAATTTTTCTAAACGAGATGCAAACCTGAAAATACAATTAGTTCTGCATAGCGGATGTCAAGGATTACTCCCAGGTTGTAGGGGTCCACGTTTAAATGCCAGGGGTATATTGAGTAATACATGGTAAACCACTTTTCTGTCGTAGGAAATTGAATTTACTGTATAAGGGGTCTAAGCGGGAGCTGAGCTCATTTCAGCAACCCCCGTAGCGGGGAAATGAGAGCAGTCTATAATTAAATTCGGGAGGTTATTTTTATGAGTTGAATTTACTTCGACCTTCCTGGCTGTTATTTATTTAGCTTGAGGTATATATATATATATATATTTTTTTTTTTTCCTTTTCAGGCGCTTCTTTAGTTTATCGTAACAATCAGCCATACTCTTGGTGAGAACCTCTCCTTCAGCATTCGTAAAGATTGTCAAGATTGTAAATCGCCGTTAAGGTAAGAGAGACCTCTTCCGTATTCTTGAAAAATTTTAATTGGGATGAATGTTATGAAACCCTTGGGAAATGTGGTCCATGCCTTTCACAGACTTCAATTTTATCCTTTCCTTCTCAAAGCCCAGTTCGAGGTTTCTCTAAAGTAGTGCGCGACACTTCGCACCCTGCCATGAATTAAATGGCTTTTAACAGGGATTAAAATGCTTTTAACACGTCTGTTTCCAATTGGAACTAAGGATCATAAGGATATGAAAGAAACATTTTTTAATGCACCCAAGCGTTGCTAGGAATTGTTGCCGTAAGATTAAGCTCAGCTATAAGGCGTTGCTTACAGTGCCCCAAGAAACCACAAGTCGAACACAGCTCACTAAATTCACGTTGCACGCTTTGTAGGGCTGTCAAGCTTGACAAGCTCTGTAAATACATCGTCACTGAAATCAAAGAGGTCGTGTCGACGACAAATTTACGTTTGGGATTAAAGCAAATATACCCAACAGCTGTGTACAACACAGAAAAAAAGAAAAAAAATTTAGCCATGGTTCATAAATTCTTGGTTAAATTCATTATTGATTTTTAAAGCTATTAGTGAGGCAATGCATTCGTCGAAGCTTACATACGTATTTCATACGTGAACTGAAAGCCTCCTGGTTCATTTGCGTAATGTTATGTAACATCAGAGTGACTCGCTGTAAGGTTAAGATACTAGGACTTCAGCAGCCAGAAATGACTCATTTTAAATGAAATGATAAGTCGATTCTCACTGATTTTGCTCCAACATTATTGTAACTTAAAGAGAAGTAAGTCCTGCTCCTTAAGTCCTGTGCTCTTCAAAGAAACATCCCCATTTTCAGCCGTTTTTATTCAATCAAGACATCTCCAAAAGCAACCGTCTTCTCTTTCAGGAATCTTATTTTTAAAAACGGTTATCTCGTTTCGACGCTAGGTTGATCCTCTTTTTGTGATGCGGTGTCTGAGAGTAAATTTCTTGATAGCTTCCATTAGCTGATTTTATTTTTACGGCCCCACAGCATTTGTGGAAGGTAGATAACAAACCGCATATTAAGTTCGGCAGGTTACTGAGAAACAGGCGAAAATTCCATTTCCTCACCATGTTTTCTTATGTCTGACGATACAAAATTGCTGTCACTGTAAGTGAGTCCAAATGTTATTTTCAATTCATTTATTATATTGTGGAGTCGCTAAAATTAGTAATAATTCTCTGTTGTACTGTTTTGCACGGCTGACATTTTTTTCATTGTTATAATTATAGCGTAAAAATGACAGTGAGACAAAAGACTTTCTAAATTACATTCGAGCATTTTAACATCAAGCATTAATCTTGCTGCGAGACCTTCAAATTACGTATTAGGGCTCTTTTCACTCAGATATCATATCGTCTGAGTGTCATATCTTGAGAGGTCTGAAGATTTTTCTTCTATTAATTGGACACATCAAGATCTGGACAAACACAAGACCTGGGTTATTAGTTACAAATCTAACGAAAAAGGGAAAAAATTACCTTGCAAATTCAAATTCATCGAACTTTTAATTCCTTGTACAAATCTGTTTGTGTATGCGAATCCTTTTTTCTGTTTCAAGGGACTAGTTAGGATTATGATAGCTAACCCTCTAACTCCCAGATCAAATTTTTTATTTTCCTTACTGTCAACCATACAATTCTTATAATGTTAGTTCAGAGAATTTAATAGTGGATCAACTAATTATTCCCAAATTGATATTTTCTTTGTTCTCATCACTTATCTGGTTGATATTGTGGTGATATTGTAAGGAGAAATTCTCTCTTATTCACTCCTGGGAGTTAGAGTTAAATATCAAAAGAATGTCGCTTGGTAGGTTTGTCTCCTATGCGAGACAGTGGCTGGCTCAATTGATGGTGCCCTTGTATTGTGGGACTTGAAAAGCTTTAGTGCTCGTTTATGAAAGAGGTGGTTTCTCAGAAGCAAAACTTCATAGTTCATCTTGGATATTTCCTTTCCATAAAATTGTTGAAATTTCAGATGTTAGTTAAAAAGTATCTTCGCTTGCCTCGCGATGTACTAAATTCTGGTGTGGATCGTTACATCGTACGACAAACATGCAAACTTTATCAGTATTATTATCATACGTCATCATGATGAATAACAATACCCCTCTACACGATAACTTTTTTTTTTTCGAGGAGGAGGGGAATTATTGTTGATGTTTTTTTTAAATTTTAGAGCAGTTCATTTTTATGGTGGGTAAAATCTTGACACTGATTGATCGAAGGGGACAATTCGGATCAGTAAAGGAATTCCTTTGTCAGTTCCGTCGAACGACAAGCGCACATAATGATCACATGACTCTTGCAAGGCTGTCGCAGTAGAATGGAAGAGAAACTCCGATGCCTTAGGCTCCTAATTTCAGCCGTGATTTATTCAGTCGTTGTTGCGTAATATAAATATTGAAAAATAATAAAATCATTGTAAAGCTGAAGTCAAACGAAACTTCACCTTTCGTTATTTTTACCATCATGTCTAATAGTGGTATTACTTTTCAAAAAGAATTTATGTCAAAACCAAATCCATGAAGGTAAGAACCAGTTTCATGTATCATTCTTGATGTCTAAAGAAGTCCTACCTGGTGGATTGCGATCGGGAAAGTCGTGATATATAAGCAAACTTCGATTTCATTTTTTTTTCGGTCGTGATGATAATTATGGCGGGAGACGAAGTATATTTCTATGAGTCTCGATTCTCTGATTCAAAATGTTTACTGAATTTAATATTATTAGAGCAATTTAAAGTCTTAACTTCTTAGTCACAGTTTCTGCTGTTAAGGTACTGATTAACTCGTGATGCAGCTTTCATTTATTGATGTTTCTGATATTTCAAGTGCGAGGGGTAGTTGTTTTCAGGCAAAACTTATATTATTCACTTTGAATTTCGACTGAATATGCCTGGAGGCTGCCATATAATCATTGGTTTGTCCTGTATTATTTTACTTTGTGGCTCAAGTAGCATTTTTTGTCATCACCATTAATTTTTGTAGCCGTTAGCGTAAAGGAACCAAGTTCGTAAACATGAATATATAGAGCACATCAAACTGAAGGAAAAACTGGGGAATTACAATTGTTGTACGTGTCGTTGGTAAATCTAAAATTCAATGTTCCTTTTCCGTCTTCGTTAGGACAATAGATAAAGTAGACGAGTAGGTGGGAGGGTATTTGTCTGAAAGTTGAAAGTGTGTGCTGATAGTTGTCGTGTGGTTTATCATATCTTAATGACAGCATGTTTCGTCTCTTGATCCATTTTGATAAAAGGACAGAATTAATAAGAAAAATTACTTATTCAAATTAAGATTTTGGAAGGCTTTCTTGTTGAGTGGTGTGTTTTCTGAACAATGTTATCGCCGGGCGCCGGATATCTCGCTCCGTTATAGACCTCCCTGTAAGTAAAATAAGGATTAACGAACACCCTTTGTTTGACAACCTCCGACAGTATTATTGTAACGGTATCTAAAAGCAAACCTGATAGACACAATAGTGAAACATCGAGGAGAAAAGGTTGAAGAGCAAAATATACGATAATAAGGGCAAAAGAAATTCGTTCTCATATAAACCGACCGTTAATTTTTTATTTTTCTCAGAAGAATCAATATTGCGATAAACCTACCAAACGGATCGAATATAAAGAACGATTCTCGTCCTTAACTCAACGGAAATTTTAATCAAGTCTTAAACAATAGCAAAGAATACCATTTTAAAATCATACTACAAACAGCGTTTGACTTGCAACGAAAATTTCATCGATGATTATTTATATTTTTGAACGACTCCGTTTCTTTAACCTCAGTTGAACAAGTTGTAAGTCAGGTGTTAACAACACTCCACAGTGAAGGGAGAAAATTGAACTGTAGTCGACGTTCGCAACCCAAAAGGTCCGCGAGTTATTATAGCGTAAAACCGCATTCCCTTCCGACGGAAGTAGCGGTAAGTAACTTAAGTGATCCAAGTTTAAAGTTTTGGCTTGAGTTAATAAAGAAGTTTTACTAAAAGAGCCTCTAAAAGTATCCTTCATTAAATGGAGAACACCTTTTCAAGAGCTTCCTTTAGATACCTGCTGGTACAGTTTCAAAGGGCGGATTCTTTTTCTCCTACAAAAAATGTCCTTCCCTTTTCAAGTTTTGCGCGTGGCAACCGGTTTTTATTCTTACAAAACAGTGGACGAGTCTTAGTTGTCTGGGTAACGCACAGCCTTTCGTAAAAAGACAGAAGCGAAGAAGATTGCAAAAAAGAGGAAAAGATTGGTTAAAAGACAGACATGCTTGTTTACTTTACTAGTCACACGACTCTCGCTAATATTGCATTTTAAATTAAACGTTTTTTTCTTTTTTAATTTTTTTAGAACTAAGACTTATCCGTTACATGTCTGTGTATCTCGTGTTTTCAAATATTAAAATTCGATTCCTATAACTGAGTTCCTCCATTGAAAGCTGTTTTTATACAGCCGGTGTTCTTTTTCCAAATAATATCATTTAATTGGCTTGTTTTTGTGCAATTGCAATACTGAACTGTCCGCCTTTTTGCGGGGGCGTCATTCTGATGCTCTTGTTCTAAGCTCCTTTGTAAGTCTTAAAATCCCTTAAACCTGCCAAATGTACGGGTGTTCTTTTCCAATGGCGAGTAAAAAACAAAAAAAAGCGCTCAAGTTTGCAGTCCACGCTCATGTCAGATTTGAATCTCATTGTTTGATAGTTAATTGTCTTTTTTCTTTCTTCTTTTGATAGATACTTTCTGCGCCGTCAGTAGGAATTTTTTCAGTTTATCATTTTTTTTTTTTTTTCTTATCTTTCTGCTATCTAAAGAGGCAATGGTTATTTACGCCACTTGAAAAATGTTTTCTAATGTTCCTTTTAATCTTTCCAGTCGCTTTGAAAACGAAAAGCCTCGGTGAAAAAGGTCTGTTTGGTTCTTGATTTATATTAATTAATGAAACTTTTTTGCAGTCCCTTTCGGGGGCTTAAGTTAACATTTTATACAACTCCTTCTAGTTTTGGGACTCGTCTTCAAGTTCCACAATAATCAACTGCCGAAATCAGCCATTCAAATCTGTAAATTATCACTCCAAAATAATCGCTAATTTTGCTAAGATTTTGTGCTTCCTATGACAACCAGCGCAGTACTCAAAATCACAAAAATTTTTCTTCTAAAAACCTTCTGTCTATTGGGCGGCGGAAGCTATCCGTTTCCTTTCTTGTGTTGCCTAATATCCATTTATTTCTCAGTGTTCGCTCAACCGCATACCAAAACGTATCTGTTTGTTACATATCAACGCCTACTGGGGTGATGGATGTAAGAATTTTTTTCAAAATCCTCTGTGTGTTTCCCTCTGCTTAAACCCACGCATAATGATGTCAATATTTTGTGAACTGATTCCTCAGGACATTCGTGACAAGTCGTATTTATTTTGAGAGTTTGACCGGAAGCGGACCAGCATGCGTGATGTGACTAAAAGGTTTACTCAATATCCGGTGTGGCAGATAATTCCGCTTGTTTACCAAATTGAATATTCCAGCTTATTAGCTGACAATGTTTTCATAGGCACTAAGGATGAGATGCACTAAATAAAAATACACTCCAGAGGTGATGGACAATTTTAGACCTTTGTATTTTGTTTGGTTGACAGTGTATGAAAGGAATACCTGTGTTCATGTTTCGGCGACTGACACTATATGCTTTCACGCAGTATTGAAGCTTTTGGGCGGTTGATTCTGATAAATACCAGAAGCCACAACAAAAGGAGCTCATGAATTTAAGGCCATTTAACGGTTTCTTTCGAACACAGGGTATTACTTTGTCTCCAATTAGTTAGTACACAAAGAACTATTCAAAGATTCCTTTAATTTTGCTGCAATTTAATTTTGATCCTTTTAAAAGATATTTATTACAGTGTTATCGCATCAGCGCAATATAGCCACCTGAACACCCGTATATAAAGTTTTGAATACAAATTGAAGCAGTTCTCTAACAGAGCAGTTTAAATTGTAGGATTAAAAATAGATATTAGTGTAGAAATGTAATGATAACAATCGTGAAAGCAATTAAATATGAAGGCCCGTATCATCATCGACTTGAGTTCAGGAAACCTTGTCATAAAATGGAGGCGTTAAAAATTTAAAGGATGATTATAAAAGACCTTGATCACGTTTCAGCATTCTTGAAATGAGCGCCATCGCAAATTGCACTTGGCTTTTTTAATTATAGCGTAGGGTTTTATATTTTTGGTAACGGTGACAACATTTAAGAATGTTGTAGTGTATTTTAAGACGCCCTAGGTTTTCAAGATGTTAAGAAGCAGCTGCTGGGATTTAAACTAACGGTAAATAACATAAGTAGGCAGTGAAGTGTAGCTTAGAAAATCCGGCCGGCTGCACAGCGTCCAAACCATCTGCTCGTAACAATGTAAACAGCTGCAAGGATTTCCGATTTTTCTTAACTGCTGCAGGTGGTTAAACGAAATGCATCCTTGATAAATACTTCCACCAAAAATCAGCGCAACTCAGATTCTCAGAGATGCTTTCTTCGTAGAATAATATTCCCACCTTTTTATTCTAGATTGCGTTGCTTGTTTTGGAACACAAGGTATCACTGAGAGTCTTCTCAGGATCATAATTATTATCATTATAATAACAATTATGATTATTATTATTATGTTCTACCGATATCAAAACCTTACCACAGAAGTTTAAATGACGCTTAACAATACAAAACACAACGAAGGGATATTGAATGACCATTTTGTCCATACAAGCTTGTTACCTACAGTCTCTGGAACGATACTGGATAAACGAGCTAAAAAGATCTTACATAATCCATTTGGAAGTGTCTGATTTCATCTAGCTTGGGTCGTGAAAGTTAATATTTTGTCTTTTGGAAACCGAAACCAACTTCAGCAAGATATTAATCTAAATCAACAGGAGCTCGAAACTTCGGCCAAATGCGCTGATTAAATTTACACGTCAAATTCCGCTACTGTTAAACTGCATCATTTGGTGCCATGTAGTGAGGTATTGTCTTCGAAATGTCTTCTTAAATGAAAATTGTTTTAAGAATTTCTGACAGCACAAAGGAAACTTCACGCAATTTTACCAATTTCTAAGAGGACCAGATGTTCGGTCGCACAGGTGTGGTTGACAATGGAACACTAGTTGCTTGTCAAGGCTTAGATTAAGTCTCCATTGTTTCATGTCATGTCTTTTGTGTCTAGGGTAGCACCAAAAACGTGGTGTTTCCAAGGGCCTTATTGGGGCGTACATCCCACAATTCCGCGCTTTTGTCAGCCTCGTCACAGCTGGGCTTCGGCAAACAACAGTCTTTGCTAAAACAGTACTGTGTTATGAATATTAATATTGCCGAGTTGAACTATTGCGTTTGTTATGAAAGCAAGTCATTGCCACCTCTTGATTCTGATAGTGCAGTTAATTGTCCCTTACATGCTAGCCTCATTCACTCTGTGTAGCGAAGGAAAAATAGTCTCTCTGTGCCGTTCCCGCGCACGATTTAATTTATTCAAGCCGGAATATCCTCATTCGTTAACGCGTGGGCCCTGATTAGCGTAGGAGGGATATTTTAGTACCCAAGCCGTCGCATTGTTTGATTTTGAATGAATGGACTTGAATATTAGCGTGAACCTCAAAAGTTTTCGCATTTGCTCGCCGAACGTACTATCGAGCGTTTCGAAGTATCTGTTACTGGTGAACCTCACCAGACTTCGTCACATAGAACTGAAGTTGTCCGTGGTTATTAGTAGCAAGGTAAGGGACCGATATTGTTCGGAGTCTTTCGGACCGATGATTTTGATTGAGTATATGGTTTTTACTACACACATGATCACGCGAACGCTAAGCTATGACTCAACACTAATTCTAACTTGTCTCCGCTTGCAGTGCGTTGAAGAAATTGACTATGTCTGTTAGTAGTCTTCTTCTGGAAAGCTTTGGTACCACCTTCGATCCTCTTCAACCATTGCTGTTCAAAGATTTTGGCGACGATTCAGAAGATTTGAAATCAAAGAGTAAAGAAGCAACCGATGACTTATGGAAGAATTTTTCATTTCCGCCGACGCCACCGATCTCTCCGGCTTGCTCGCCCCCGCACGCGGCGACCGAAGAGGCAAGAGAGCAGCCAGTTTGCTTCGGCGTGGCAGATGAGGCATTTTCTCTGGACGAAGAATGCTCGCTGTACTTCCAAGCCGGTGACCTAAAAGATATATTGATTAAAGATTGCATGTGGAACGGCGCTGCTTTCGATAAGAATGCGGACAGGAAGCAGCATCGATCGAATTCAAAAACGGATCGAGTTCGTTTGTTGTGCCAGACACCGCCACTGAGTGAATCTGCGGCAAGGATTTTGAGTGTGGATCCCTCAGAAATCTTTCCTTTTCCTCTGAGTGCAAGCCCTGGAAGCGAACTGCGAGAAAACATCGATGAGCAATCGGATTCCGGTAAATACAACCACTGATTGGATAAATAATAGATGCTGAGTTGCTGCGGCTGATTAAGTCTGTTCTCCATGTTCGCCGGTCTTTGACTTTAGTTGTCACTGACCCGTTTTTCCTGTTCATTGCCACAATTTTTTTATGTGTGCCCCACGTTCCAAGGTCGCAACTTTTCTTATATACTTCTTGTAAATGTTTTCTTATGTCCCGAAAATAGCGTTAAATTATTTTCTTACATTCATGTTTGTTTTGCAAACTTTATAGAAGAAGAGGAAGTCGAAATTGATGTGGTTACTATAGAAAATTCAAGCAAACGAGAGCAGGAAGCCGATGAAGTTATTGAAACTGAAAGTGTGGAAATTTGCACTAGAATCGAAGAACCGGTCCCAAGTGAAAGCTGCTCTGAAGTATCAAGTTCAGAATTGCGAACGGAAGACCCAGAGGAAGACGAGAAAACTGAATATGTGGGCAAGATAAGAACACGTCGGCATAGAAAAGTGTTATCCAGCGACGGATTGAATTACCGCGAGGGAAAGAAACTTGTTAAGAATATCAGCAGCTCTGGAGAAAGCGATGAGTCTGAGAACGACAGTGAATTCACACGAGCGACACATAACGTATTGGAGCGAAAGAGAAGGAACGATTTAAAAATGAAGTTTCAAAAATTACGAGACTGCGTTCCGGAATTGAAGAACAATGACCGCGCACCCAAAGTCTCCATTTTGCGGAAGTCTTGGGAGTATATAAGTCACATCAAACAAGAAGAAAGTAAACTCCTGACCGAGCTGGAAAAACAAAAGAAAGTTAACGCTATGTTGTTGAAAAAGCTACTGGCTTTGAATCAAGCGAACTAGAGACTTTTAATAGCGGGACGTAATGTTTTTAAGCCATTTTATCGACTTCCTACAGAGTTTTTTTTTTAAGTACCTGACTTGTGGTGACGAGTTTTTGAAAATGTTCATTTGGTTTTCCTATTCCCACTTGCGCTTGAGTCGTCGAAGCGTAAATTATGATGAATGACCAATTTTGCTGTGCAATATTAGTGACGCGATATTTTTCAGAGAGAATTGAGGACACACTTTAGCAAAGCTGTAGTGGCCAAACTCAACCGTGTAGAACTCAGTTCGAGTTAATCTTGAAGATAGAAACTGATTGTAAATAGGGTTATAATTGTGCTGTTTCATTGCGAACAGCTTTGAAACCGGCTTTGTGCACGCTTGACAAAGGCATTAGAATTTCACGAAAATTTTTCGATCAGTCTGATGTAGATTTAGAAAACACGATTTGAGATAGAAAGTACTTTTCAAATCAAAAATAAAAATAAAGTCTTAACTATACTCTGTTTATTGAATGTTTCGCTAAACATCGGCGTAAAACGATGGCGTTTTTGTCGAGGAAACATCGAAACAGCGTGTTCTTTGTTTGGCTGAAACTACTATTCCATTCAAACGGAGTGACACTCCTCGAATGAATGACCACCGCATTTGCATTTTCATGTTGACTTTAGCCAGGCTTAGACTAAACTGCATAAATTACAAATCCATTAGCCTATTACCTGTCTTGTGTTGCAATGAATTAAACTTGTTGGGAAATACAAAATAATCTCATCCAAAAGATTGGGCAAACCGCAGCGTCTGTTTACATCATAACTCAAATTATTAGGCGCGGTGACTTCGCGAAAAACCATACAAAGATAATCTCTAAAGTCATTCATAGGTCGTGGGGAAAAATAAACTTCCCTTCAATGGATCGACTATGTGTATTTTAACATGTTACAAGTCGCTTCGTTTACTTTTTCGACACGACTTTAACAAAAGGTGTTGTGAAAAGTTTGGAGATCATTTTTCTTGCGTAAGCGCAACAAAAGGTTTGTGTTTTCAAAAGTTTTCTCGCGAAGAGCAAGTCGCAGATTAAAAATAACGCACAAATTTATTGTTTGAAAAGAAAGTGTAAAATCCAGAGTACAATATATCTGCAAAGTTAGGTTTTAACAACTAATTTATTTTATTAAAATAATGTCCCCTTCAGACATAAAAAAAAACGTTAATATTAATATTACAACATGGAACGTCGTTGGGAAATTTTGATTCATTAAAATTCGGCTGGTAACACCAAAAAGTGAGTTAAACAGCCTATTAGATTTTTTTTCCTCACAATTTCACACCTTTAAAAGCAATTTGATTTCACTTGACTAAATTGAGTAATATCGTAATGGTTGTACAAACTTGAAAGAAATCAAAACTTTGAAATTGTTCTTTCATGTTCTTTTCTGTTTTGGTTTCTTTAATCATTTTTCAAGATCAAATTTAGCGTCCGATCAAACGATCTGCTTGCATCAATTATGCTCAGATAAATAATGGAAGTTTGAACGTTCGTAACAAAAAATTTTCTGATAACGAGTCAGACATATCACTGCTACGCTATGAGTCAAAATTGTAAAGTTGCTAAGAGAGTGAGGGCTCGCGCCATCTCATCTCTGTTCGTTTCCGGCCATATTGGAAAAGTGTTTACTTTGAGAGCAAGTAAAGAGCTTCAGGGAATTGTAATGCAAATCTGAGCAGGTGTTCGGTTGAATGGGGCAAAAATAGACCCTTTGTTTACGGCAGCTGCCTTTTGGCAGAATTTCACCGCTTATTACACAAATTACAACTTATGGCTAGAATATTATCTAGGTTTATTAGTTTAGTTTCCACTGCGGCTTTTTTAGCCTGTGAGTTTTTGTAGTAAAGTCTTTGGTTTTGTAATAACGTCAATTTAAGTGATTTCAATTCCATTTGTCGAGCTTGCAAATGTGATAAATAATGCTTGCGAAAGATACATTGATATATAGCGCAATTAGAAATATCTCAACAAAGACGTTTTCTTTTTTCTCCTTTCTAGAGGATTGAAACTTGCAAGCTGTCAAGGAACACTGTTTTATTTAATAAAGGTCTTACACTGACTGATTTTTAGGAAAACTATTTTAAGCTAACTCCAGCAAATTGCGCGGGAAACGTAATTGACTGTTCCTATTACAGATGTCATTACCTCGGACATCTATACATATGAAAATTATGCACCACTTTACCAGGACAACTGTCACAGCACAGGTTGTGTTATGAGTGCACTATAAACTAAATTCCTTTACTTTGATTCACTCAACTGTCTCTATCGAAAAAGGGAAAGATTCAACGCGGGTCTATTTCTTTTTGTTGTTATTTGTCCTTCCCATAGAATACTATTTATCGAATTGACACCGGCTCCGACAATCCTGCAGGGTCAAACTTTTACTTTCGCCAGGATAACATTGAAAACTTTAATAATAACCACTCAAGGCTATTTGAACGTAGTTGAAAGACCACATCACTGTCGTCAATATTAAGGCAGCCTTGATATCTTTATTGAACGTTTAAAAAATTAAATATCGCCGCGTTAAAGCTAGCTGAACGTTATTTTGAAAGAAAGTGCTAATATCTCGAGTGCGATAAGCTCTTCATAAAAAAGCTTAAGGAAATTGTTCTGCCCCATTTAGCACAGGCCAGCTGCTTCTAAAGTACGAGTTTAATACCCCATTCAAGCTGTCACAAACCATGTAGATAATTTGCTTCCCACGAATAAACATTTGCTCCCAAACTATAGACTTTCGCAATAAGAGCGCGCGCGTAATTTGCATTTGAATGGATTTCATTTAATTTGATTGACGGCGTCCTCCTCGCGCGTGCCAGCCCGTACGACAACAACCGCAAACAAAGGGTTTTCTAATTCGGCTTCAATCCTGTGTCCCTAGAGGCCGAGCTAGACATAGTCAGTACTTTACATGGCTAATTCGATTGTTGTGGATTAATACCTGGCCACAGCGGTGTCAATGCTCTTTTTTTCTTTGAGCCATTTTGCGCACAAATACTTCGGCTTTGACCTTTGAAGCGAAATGTTGTTCATTGTTTCAATGATAATGCTCTGGGGAGATTGTTTTTCGTGCGCGCTGTTTGCGCAGGAATCCAAGCGTCATGTTTGTTAAAAACGCAAGCAAATTATGGCTCTCTCACTCGCCACATCACTCTATTCCTCGATGCCTGTTCCGAAACCGCTTTTTGGCGGAAAAATTAGCCCCCTATTTTATATCTTTCAACTCGTTTAAGATTCATTCACTTTGATATTCTATGATCATTAGTGGGCTAATTAGTAAGGCACGCGCCGGGTACGTCATTGACACACGAATAGTACTTAACACCCCCAGAAAATTACCAAATCTTCAAAATTAATGGAGTTACTGCAAATATTATGTCAACTAAGCTATGACACCACCGGAACATCATGATTGTTAAAGGGGTCGATGTTATCGGTTGAGTAAATAGCGTAGAAGGTTTAAGTCCAATAAAAGCATAAAATGCAAGGGAAGTTGTTGGTTTATAAAATCTGCCTCCCTAGAAAAACCTTGCCTCGCATGCCTTACATCCAAAAAGCAAAATTGTGCTGGTTTTATTTCCACAAAGAGCAAGGTCTACAATATATTCATTGACGCTACTCTCTTTAGAAAATGGGTGTGTCGTGATGTAGTTTTGTCAGATTCAATTGTTCTTGTAACCCTCTTGCGTGGAGCTATTCATATGCAAGCAGATTACGCTGTAACCTCTGTAGCCCAGCCGGCAACCTCAGAAGAGTGGCATCCTGATTAAACCACTAATATATCTCGAGAGCTCGTTTGGAAACGCGTGCGTCTTTACAAACTTATACTCCAGGCCTTTTGTTCATCGGCTTCAATCTTAACAGTAAACCAGTTTGAAGTTTAAACCTCCACCAAGAAGATCATCATTTTCAAGATGTTTGCAGCTACCAGTGCATTAACCGGTATCGGTATTTTTTATCTACATAATTAACTAAAAAAAAAACTGCACTGCTTTCTTTATTTCAACCAAACCCTCCAAAGCCTGCGATTCTAACCCTGCAATTTATAGTGAGAGAATTTCGCACGAAGCTTCGATTTCTTTCAACAATTCAGCTGCAATTTGTCTTTGAAAGGAATATTCGTACACTGATCTGAAAAAGCACGGATGTCCCAATATGATTTTGTCCCATTTGCGTCCCTGAACCAATTTCGAATACGTACGTAAAATGGCTTAATACCTACCATTGGCATTTTCTACGCCATGTCAAAAATCAAACAATAAAATTTTTTTTTTTAATATATGGTCTTTAAAATGATCTTGACAACTTTCAACCGTCATATACATATAACTTTGGTCGAACCCTGGATAATCATATGTGCGTTTTTTTTAACGTCTGTTGAAGGTGTCAAGATAACCTGTATTTTTTGCTTTTCTCCCGCTGTTTTCTATTTGCCAAAACGTTACTGCCTAATCGAAGATGTTAAGAAATTCCTTTAGATGTAACTATGCCTTGTCGCCCCAGCGAGCGCCATCAATATTTGGGTTGTTTTGGCGAGGCGCGCAACTCTACATCTTCTGGAATTCACTTGTTGCGCCTTTCAAAGTGCAGTGCTTTTGGAAAATTCATTTTGAAAAGGATGCTGGTTTTTCATGGTGCCACACATAATTATTTCTTCATCTAACAAAAGACTGAACAGGTCGATAAACATTGCTACGGGTCGTTCGCTTATGAAAACTCCAAGAAAACATGAATATTCAATTTTGCGTAACTCATCCGAGGCCTTTATTTCAGTGAGGGTGACTCGAAAACCTGTAAGCTACAAGTCTTGTTTGTCAAACCAAGGAGCAGAATTCACAGATCACTGCACAAGAGAAAACTATACCAATTTTGAGAGAGAGCCAACGAGGAAAAATCAACTTACACGCGTGATGCCCACGCTTGGATCTTTAGCATTTGATGACTTTATGCAAATTTGCCTTTTGTGATGTGATCAGTTCATTCATTGACTCATTCATTCATTTGAAGCTTTTAACGTGAAAAGCGGCTGGTCTGTTTGAAAGCAGAAATTTTTTTCTCCCTTCACAAATCTCAAGGTGCTCGCTCAATCGCTAGGTGCGTGGTGTTTAAGTAAACAGGCAAGCGTGCAGATTTCAAATCGTAAAATAGAAAATGTGTACTTTGAATGGTGGCCAAGCGCATCCTAATAACTTGTACGTTTTTTTTTCTTTCCAATAACAGACTCTGTTGCGAGATGTTTTTTGACGAGAGACTACGTGGACCTCAACCTATAGATTCCTCTGCTCATCAAGATCTCATCGCCGCAGAAGACCTTTACAGCCCGGCTTTTCCGATCGACGACTTGTGGAAGAAATTCACACTTCCAACGCCACCCTATTCTCCAGAGAACTACTTACCCCAGACTAAGCGCAACTTTGTTATTCCACCAAGAAGGAATGGCCTTCAAGTCGTTCCCGAACCGGAAGATCTGTCGTCGGACCTACCCTTGGTTTTGTCCGACGCAGAGATGGAACGCCCTGACCTGTAGCACAATCGATGACGAATATATTTGGCCGGCTGGTGAGAACGACTTCGATAGAGTTGAATCGCAGAGGTTTCAGGGGAATCGAGTAGTTCATTCGGCGGCATGCGTCAACGAACCAAGCGCTGAAATGGCGACTGAACATCAAATGATGCGAGATTTGTCTCCATTTGTCACTGCGATTCCAAGTCAAGATTCCGCGCTTGGTCTACCGCAGGTTGAGAGATGGCACTCGCAGTTCTCTGGTAAATATCACGCTTATTTCGCGTAGATACCAAGAATTAACTTTGCGATGTGTGAGTTAAAGTATGTCTTGTAGCCCTTTGCGATCGAGACGTGTAATTTCACTTTCGAAATGTATAGCAAGTTGCACCTCGCGAAAGACCTTTCATTGACTTTACAGCGCTTTAAACTTAGTTTCGTTTAGTTTCACAATCGGGAATAATGAGATCATTTACTTTGCTTTTGTCGCTTGTGAATGAAGAAAAAGGGGAGCGTGCGACGCATTTTCTCTGTTCTTTAAGCCATTTTCCGGCCCTCAAGTCTGGTAACTAGAAACAGAGTTGGCTGTACATCGTAAACAATCTGAGCAAGTGATGAATGTTGATCACAGGACTTCGCTATTAATTGAGTGTTTAAAATGCACGCTTTGTGGTTTTAAAGACGAAAGTTTTATAACTACTTGGTTTTGTTTATAAGTTGTTTTTAGATTTTTAGTTCACACTTTGGCGCGTTTTTCAGTAAACTTTGATTCAATTGTCAAAATTACTTTCGCGATCCTGGGACGCTTTCAAGTGATTTGACGTTCGAAAAATAACTTTACAAAGGCTTGAATCAAAATTAGTGTCTTTGAACATCTGATATTTTCTTTTTGTCAAACAGAATACACAATCTGCCTTATGACAAGCCGGCTTATGACTGGCCCTGTGCTAATTAAATCTTTTTTATTTCGAAAACAGAAACGCTCTGAACAATGGTTTCAAGCAGTTGAAAAGACTCGTTTTTGATTCAAGATAAAATAAAAGTTTGCAATTCCACTATTAATTAGTCGGAGAGTATCAAAACTCTTATTTGCAAACCCTAGGAGTAAATTAACGTTTACAACCTAGCTTGGAGAGGTAGCAATAGAACTCAGTTGAAATTCGATTTAATTTGTAAACTCTACTTTATTGTGCCGTGTAATTTGACTAATTCTGCGTAATTTTCTTTTCGTTGCAGTGGAAAATCCGGCATTGAGACTAAATCAACCCCCAAGCGAGGAATTTGTAACTCATCGGCTTGACTGCACGGTATCGAAGAAACCGCGCAAATCTCGAAGATCAAGTCGCCAAGATTCACCGCCAATGGAGGGCGATGACTCTGAAGACAACGAAACAAGCAGAGCAACTCATAATGTCTTAGAACGACAGAGAAGGGAGGATTTAAAATGTCGTTTTCAATTTCTTAGGGACAGCATACCAGAGCTCGAAGATAATGATAGAGCATCTAAAGTTTTAATCTTAAAAAAAGCGCGGGAATACGTACATCAGTTATTCTTAGAAGAGGAACGTTTACTTGCTGATAAAGAGTTAGAGCGGCAGAGGAGACTGATTCTCCTTGACCGCCTTAGTTGTTTACGGCAAGGTTATGGTGTAATGTAGAGGATTTCAAAGTTAACTTCTGTTAACTGTAAACTTTAGGCTACAGTTTTTTTTTAAGAAGAATTATTCTACAAGTCGAGGAAAAAAAATCGCATTTTGTTCATTCATGAAATAGGATTTTTGTATGCTACAGTTTAATGTTGCCATTTGCCGTGCAACGGATGTCAAAAGTTAATACTCAGATTAATTCGCGTTTTATAACTACAGAATTAACTTGATTGATATAAATATATTATGTAGCCATTCACAGCCGAGGTATTAAATTATTAAGCAGGAGTAGAATTCTGGGGTTAAAATATCTCTAGTCTTTGATACTCTTGCAGAGGCAAATCCAAACTCGAACATTAGAACATTTCAATCGATAAAACGGTTTCAAACTTCACCTCTAAGTCAATTTTTAAATTAAATTGTGTAACTTTTGTTTCCATTTTTGCTAGTCGACGTATTACTCAAAGTAATTTTCACATAAAAATTTCCAGTAAATTTAAGAGACTCTGATTTTACAGCAAAAAGTCATCTTAGAAACTGAACTTGATATCTCAGGATATTTTGTTTTCAAGTAAAATCTGCAACGAGTATAAACTGAAAAAAAAAAAAAAAATTACAAACAGAACACAAACAGTCGTTCGTTTTTCAAGCAACATATCCTAACATGGAAAATTCAGGAACGGCGCGGATCATAAACATAAGTTTCTCCGTCAATATCTGAAGTTTAGCCATGTTAAAACTTCTGTGAGAAAGCTTTCGTTTTTGCTCGCAATCAAATGCCACGTAAATTCAGTTTTGAGAAGTTCTAAAAAGAGTTTCTCCATATTTGTACAAAGGAATTACGACAAACTATTGCTGTGAACAGCGAAAAAATGTATGAAGATATTTTTGTCGAAGTCAGTGGTGGTTAGTTTCATGTCTCACGGAGGTTTCAGATTATTCAGCTTAACTAGCATGTAATCTGTACATGAAACAATTTTTGTAATGAAAACGTTTATGCCTTGAAAAATAAATAGGCTTGGAAATGTGTAAACTTCTGTTGGGAATTCTTTAAGCCAGAAGCGAGTAATGGGGCGAAATAAACTTTTAATTTGCAGGAGAGACGGCGCAAAATCGAGATAAATGCTGTCTGGGTGATATTGAAAGCGTCAGTTTTGGCAATCAGTGCGAAGCAATTTAATTTTGATCAGACACAAGCGCAGAAAAGCTTTATACGATTGTTTTTGGTTTTGAAGGTATTTTTAATTTTCTGAAACATAGATTATACGGGAAGTTGGACGTGGCCTCGACATTACTGTTCGAGTTACCTCGTTGTTTAACTAGTCCAGTCGGGTTTAGCGAGATGAGGGTTGCTAATATCCACGCGCTTAATTCAATTTGAGGAAATTGCGCTGTCTGATATTGCTATTTTGGTTTCATATGAGAAAACAATTTCACTTCTAAGTCGAGTTTATAAAAACAAATCAAAATATTTTGCTGATTTATGGTCCAAATACGAAATTCACTGGAATCGAAACCGGTGGCTATCGTATCTATTAAATATTAGTTAATCGCGGAGTAGAAGTTTTAGTGTCATAGCAGCCGTTTGCAAATCTTCAAATATTCATTTGATTTATTTGGCAGACCAGTCGAACAGCTGCTGTTTCCCAGCAGTCCATAGCCTGATATATTCCAAATGTAGAAGGCGACGTTTTGAATTCGTCGTTTCGAAATTCCCAAATGTCCCCACCCCGGCTTAAACTCTGAAGAACTTTGACCCTACGTGATGTTTTCTTTAAGAACAGAATGCGAATTTTGGTTCTCAAAGGAAATGGAAATACCAAATAAAACTGCACAAGCAGTTTAGAAGATGCCAAGCGACAACTGATTTGATGAGAGAAGTTTAAGTGCGTTACGCATTATTTCTGTGGTTTTCAGTTTCCTTTCCATCTCGGATGACAAGATGAAAGTGAAAAACACAATTTTGTATAAAGAAGGCTTTTTACATATGCATCACAAGTCTTCTACACAAAAATGATCATTTTATTACAATGATATCGTGGGATCGTGGAACTTGAAGTCTGTTGGCTCGAGTCTTTGACAAAAACCGCGCCTAAAAAATTAGGCTGTCTTTGCATAAACTCGATTGTAGTTAATCCAGTAAACTAACGCTGATTTGGCGTCGCTGTTTTAATTTAAATGTCATAATAAACTGCCCGCAAGCCTTCATTCTTTGACTTTTGTGAAGCATTATCAAAACAAACTTAAAACTCAGCTGAAACAAAGCTTATAGAATAAATGCCGGACAAGAAAGTGCGCGCCCTAATCGCGCGCTGCGCTGCAAGTTTTTGGCAAAATTCTTTCACAACGTGCGAATAAGTAGATCTCTTTTCTTCCAAGATTCCTTTATGGAGAGTGATTTTCTCTGTGATATATTACGCGCCCTACCAACACTTTGTTGCCATTAGTTTCGACCTAAACGATTTTTCTTCATTATTCTTCATTTTTTTTGTTTTGAAGCGCCAGGCGGGTAAAACCAATGAAAAGCTTTTGTCACAGCGCGGCTGAATGCGTTTTATCTCTTATTTTAAGCCAGATGTGCCTTGCTTCGAATCTTCAAATCGACTATTAACAGCTTTCCGACGTAAAATCTAGCAAATTTACACCAGTTTTCTGTCTCGAGAGAATAAAATATTGTGTTCATCTGAAGACTTTGATTTACTTTGTGTTACGTTATTCTCTTGTTGACAATCCTCTTTATTCGCACACGTGTTCTCAGTCTTAATTATGACTAGAAGGGGTATAATTATGCGGCGAGACGGCGGGGTGTTTTGGATAAAATAGATCGATATTTCCGTAGACTGGTTTTTCAATTTAATTTAGTTACGATATTGTGCAGAAAGGTTTGCGCTGAGTGCTTTAAATGAGCGCGTCACCATGTGAAAGCAATTGGCTTAATGCGCGCTATGTAGAAATGACAAGAGGATCGACTTATCAACATGCTTATTAGGATCACTAACGAAACTAAATTTTGCCGGCAAATTAGTCGTTGCGTGTTCTGATAGCGTTTATTTATCGTGTTGTCGAGTTTTCGTGATTTCGCCCTTTTGCTTCCCCCATAGATTATCAAAACCAATGGCGTGAGTTGCAATTAATCAAATCGGCAAACGCAAGCTAAAACTCGAGGCTTTTAGCGAAGTAATTAATGTCTGACTAGTGGCAACGGTTACATCTTGGTTGGCACGCAATATGTTATACCCTTTTTGTTAAACAAATCTTACGTTTCCTCTTTTTGTGTTTCAGCTCTAATTGCCTGTGGCCTGAAATGCTTTTAGTGACTGACATTTCTTTTCTTTGCCAAGCAATCAAAACCACAACGAAAGCGGGAGAACCTATTTCTTGAAACAAAGTTGTTGTAGTAAAGTTTTCTTGTTGTCGTTGACGGTCAATCTCAAGAGAGTTTTGCTTTTTTGTAATTCATCATTTTTTTGTTAGAGCTAGCTTCTCTTTCAGTTTTATTACATTTGTGTCAATCAGCAAGACTCACTTGTCCTCTGTCATATTTTTTTCATGTCAAGGCTTTTTAGCGCAAAATCGAAATCGCATGATGTATAACTCTGGAAACTTGAGTGCGCCTTTTATTTTCAAACTGATAACGCCATCATAGTGTGAAAATCTTTGATTGCCTTAAAACGGCGGGAAAGTTAATTTGCTTTGTTATGTTATCTCTATGTGTCTTTTCTTAATTTGTATATAGTTCAGATTGATTTACTGGTGTCTCATTTGTCATTTTAGACAATTTGAATTTCTCTCTTTAATCGTTTCTGAAAAGAGATTTGTTTTTGAAGTCATGCTGGAGACTCCGTGCGCACTTTCGGAGCCAAAACGGCGTAGGCGCGCATATGTAAAGTGCTTCAGTTTTTACTAGACGGTAATTTTAGGCGTCTTTTTTGCGCAATTTCGCCTAATGTTGAACTTTTTCCGCGTCTAGCTATCGGTAATCCTTCACGTAACGATAAAACAGAGGACATGACGTATTGAACAATGAAGAAACTAAGCCAAGTACAAAAAAATTAACCTCAACGTTTTACAAAGTCACGTTTGTTGACGTGCGGAAGGGCACCCTACCAACATAACTATTTTTCAACCACTCCGAACAACACGCAAACGATATCAAAAAAAAAAAAAATCATGACAGTTTGATAATGGTGAAGTGCGCATTTCCTTCTTGTTTTGTGGTCGGTACACCAGTAATTTACTTAATAGCCTGAGGAAAGTGACTCGCGCCTTTTCAGCATAGTTGCGGGCAAATTGAAATTTCACTGCAAGAAAGAATTTAGAAAAAACTGACAGGATTTGAAAATAAATTTTATAGTACATGAATTCAGAACTGTGCCAATATTGCACAAACAATCAGAAAATAACAAACGAAAAAGCAATTAAAAAATTCTATTCACGTATCTCTTTTTCTTGGGAATTCTTTGAGCATCAAAGATAGCAGCACGGAAGCATTCAATACTGCTTCAATTTAATTAATCGTCACGTACCATGTTTCCGATAAAACCACCATGATTGATCTAAAATTAACTCACTGCCACTTACTGAATAGCTAAACACTACTGAGAATTACTCTTTTTTAGATCAGTTCAAATTCAATAGATGCGACTTGATGACAGGAAGTTCAGCTTTGGAAGTCTGAAGTCTGAGAGTGACCTTTTGAGTGCGCCCCTTGCACCTGGCGATTTACATCATGCAACAATTAATTACTTCAAAACAAATCATTTTCAAATTCATTATTTGCAATATGTTTAAATCTTCGGACACCTTACTATTCGATTCCTTTCGATTCTTAGTACACTCTTTTGTGTTCTTCTATCGTAGCCTAAACTAAACTCTTGTGGCTAAGCTGTCGATAATTTATGAGTCGACTACAAATGGTTCGTTGACACTTCTACTTACTTTATCAATACACTCTCCATGAAGAAAAATGAACCGTGGCCAAGACATCAAATTCTTTAAACCGACAAATTTAG